CAAAACGTAGTGTTTCAAATTAAATTGTACTGGCCAGTTAGGTCGAAATTTCAATAAATTTGTATGATAAAATTTAAATTTAAACAGCCGCAAAATAATATGGAATCCCGAGAACTACGTTAAAAACTGGCTGAAGATAATAATAAGTGGCACACTTAAAAATAAATGTTAAAATAAATATAAATAAAGAAATATTTAAATTTAATAAATGTTAAAATAAATAAATGTTATCCAACCAGAAATGATATTGAATCAACGTCAATCGATCGATCGTAAATCGCCGTCGAATCGATGTTGATTCGATGTCGATTTGATCATTCATTTTTGGTTAAGTAATAAATGTTAATAAATATTTAAATTTTTCTATTAAAAAATAATTAATAAAATATATTTTATTGTTTTTCATAATCGAAATTACGTATTTTCATTTAAAATTCAGTTTAAGAATGAAGTGACGACTTCGCTCCAGGGGAGTGACGACTCCGCCCCGGCAACCCGCTCACACATCTTCAATTGCAGTTGCAAAGCTTCATGAATTGCGTTTCGAATTGGTGACCCACGCATCGTATTCACCGCATTTAGCCCCCAGTGACTTTTTCTTATTTCCGAATATGAAAAAATGGCTCGCTGGAAAAAAATTTACATCAAATACGATGGTCATTACTGAGACAAACGCTTATTTTGAGACTCTAGAGAAATCATATTTTATAGATGGTTTAAAAAAATTAGAATATCGTTGATCTAAATGTATTGAGTTGAAAGGAGATTATGTTGAAAAACTAGCTTTTCGACCCTCATAGCCAGTTTGATATTAATGAAAATAAATAATTTTTTATCATCACTGGCAATTAAAAACTTTTTTATTTTATATTTTAATTTTTCTTAAGCAAAAATGTTGAAGAAAGCCATCATTTTTTATAATTAAAAAAAAATATTTTTATATAACTATTTTATTATATATATGTGTATATATATAATATATATATATATATATATATATATATATATATTATTATATATATGTGTATATATATATATTATATACACATATATATAATAAAATAGTTATATAAAAATATTTTTTTTTAATTATAAAAAATGATGGCTTTCTTCAACATTTTTGCTTAAGAAAAATTAAAATATAAAATAAAAAAGTTTTTAATTGCCAGTGATGATAAAAAATTATTTATTTTCATTAATACCAAACTGGCTATATATATATATATATATATATATATATATATATATTATATATAACTATATAATAAGTTTTAAATTAATATTCTATTTTAGTAAATTTTATCTAAAATTAATTAAAGAATATAATTTTGTTAACTTTTAACTTCACGAAGTTTAGTTTGCAAAAAACAGTTTTTTTAAATTACTTATAATTCGGAAATTATTGCTTCGATATTTTCGCTAAGCAAAAAATCTTCAACTTGAACAAAAAATTTTTGCTATCCGTTGATTTTGGGACATTCTGTATATACTCGTACAGTATATACAAATTCGATTAATATAAAAAAGAAATTATTATAGTCACATTGTGAATTTTATCAAGTGGTTTGTTAAAAGTAATTGATAATTATAGTATATGTGATGTGTTAATTAAATAAAAGTGTAAAAATAAAATCTTTGTGAAACTGATCGGTTGATAATATAAGTATATTATATTATTTAGTCGAAAAGATATTTTAAGCTAAGAATTAAAAAGATCTGCGACTAAATAAAATTATTTAATCTGTGAAAATTAAAAATTTTGAAATAAATTTAATATGTATAAAAAAACAAATAATCTTTAAATGACCTTGAGAATAAACATAGAAATTAGTAGAGCCATCTTTTCTTTCTCTTCAAATCAAACAACTTTTGTTTGAAAATTTTGTTGTACAATCAAAAATAACAGTGAAGTTTTTGGGGGTGATTGATTAAAATTGGATATCTAACATATAAGAAAATGCTATATGGTATACATATATGAGAAGTTGCTTAATTATTTTCTGTATTGCAATTATAAAGAAAACTCGATTCCGTTCTGATTTCGACGAGATTCATAATAACTGAAAGATGCAAACGAAATTGTGATCGGAAACTCGCCGATCGAAAACGTGATATTCCGATCGGAATTATGAAAATTACATATAATAGCTGCCCCGTTTAACGACCGCATATTCGGTCGTTATTTATCGTTTTAGCATTTTTTTCTTGTTTAAACTTCATTTATTTTGTAAAATGTCACTTTTTCATATTACAGGGAAGACGCGTCGCGTTCGCAAGCGACATTGTCATATTGCATTAAAATTATATAATAATTTAAATACGGATGTATATACAATCAAATGGGGGGGCTCTTATATATTTCTCTAGCTAAAATAGATACTCAACAAGGATTCAATACGGCGCAGACTAAATTCTTTATATCTAATTCATATTATCTAATTAAATATAATATCTCTTACATTGCTTATAATATATATATATATATATATATATATACACACACATACATACATACATACATATATATAATATATATATATATATATATATATATATATATATAGATAAATCAGATCTCTATCATTTCTTTTAAAAGTAACATATATAGCAATAAGGTACATAGCCTTAAATAACTGTCCTTTTGTAAATATCAAGTTCATTGCTTCCAGGTCCACTAAGGAAGAATACACATATTTTGTGAAAAGCTAGCGACCATTTTTTTAAATAATGAAATCAGATTCTGTGACAAAGCTGACACATTTTAGTCTCTCGGATGTATCTTTACGATATTATATTTCTTCGTGATATCATATAAAGCCGACAATTGTGCGTGTTTCATATATAACAAGCATAACTTTCGAAGGAATTATTAATCATTAAAGTGTGTAAAGTGTATTATATGATCTTGTTATGTCAATTGAAAGCATAGAAACTAAATATAGTAGCACAATAAATATGTATAACTATACATAAGCACAATACCTATTTTTTAATTAAAAAATAGATATTATTGCGCTTGGAATGCGCGAAAAATATAAACCTTGTAATTTTATTTTAAGCATGGGATCAAATTTATTATTATATACTTAAAAATGTGGAATCAAAAATAAAAAGGCTCGAGCCTATCTCTTACTTCAAAATATTTTTTTAAAAGTAATTATAGAGAGTTCGAAACCATGCAAACAAATTCAAATTTAATCCTTGTAAGTTACTTAATCCCATAAATTTTACACACAAGATGATAAATTAAATACAAACATTCTTCAAAGCGGTGCGCAAATTTTAATTGCATTACAAGATCTAAATATGTCAGTGTGTTTTGTCACAAAATTATAGATAGTCGCGAAACAATTTCGTACTATAAAGGTGGATATATATATATATATATATATATATATATATATATATATATATGTATATATATGTATATATATACAGAAATCGTGCGTTCTATAATTCATACTTGAGCATACCGTAAAAGAATAATCAAGTTTAACACAAATTATAATCAAAATAAACTAACATACTATTTATACAACACTGTTTGCAAACGGATAATAGCGGGGGAAATTGTTACATAGTTGTATTACACAAGTATGGAATATAAACGATGACAATCTTTTAACAAATTAAACTAAAACGGAGTTTCAGCTTTGCTGTAATCATAAGCCATCCTCTAAATCGTTTGATTTTTTGAGCCGAGTGCATACAAGGGTGAATTAATTAACGACGGTGTTATACGTTGTTATTACGTACGAAAAAGGATAATTCTTATAGAAACTGGATTTCGGTGGAATTGGCTAGTTTTTTCATATATTTTAGCTTGTGACCTGCTGAATAAAAAATGTAATAGCTTCAAAACTAAAAATAATAATTCAAAAATAACAGTTACTGAGTTACAGCCAGTCAAACAATTCGCAGAGCCCAAATTTTTCGCGTGTTTGACTAGCTATAAATTAGTAATTATCTATTATTTAGCTTTAAACCTATTACACTCTTTGTTCATTGAATCTTACCAAAATTCCATTTTATGTAGGATAAAATTGAATCTCGATAAAATCAGCTAGTTTTCTCACATGTTATAGCTTATGATTTGCTAAACAAAAATATAATAGGTTCAAAGCTAAATAATAAATAATTTGACTGGCTGTAACTTAGTAATTGCTCATTATTTAGCTCTTAGAGACTATTATATCTTTTGTTCAGCAAGTCTTAAATTACAACATATGAAAAAAGCGGCAAATTCCACCGAAATTAAATTTCCATAAAGATTGTGCAGGGTCCTTTGTAGCAAAAACATAAAATATAGAAAATGAGGGTTTTTCGAGATTCTTCACCCTGAGACACGAATTTGTTCGAAATTCTACAAGACTTGACAACGATCTCTGTGTGTACGGCTTATTTTTTTTTATTATCTTACACACTTTCTGTATTTATATAATTTAAATATTCCTATCCCATGGACGTGATTTGATTTGAGTGAAAATATTTGATTATTTTAAGCGCCTCGCGGTTAAAAGATTTTTCGCATAATACTTTACAATCTTACTTATACACATTGTATACAAAGGTATAAAATTCGTTTCGTATTCGTTTTCACCGATAAGTAAGTTACAGGTAATAATGTTATTCAGAAAAAGTATCAACGATAACAACTTTAACAACTTCAACTTGTTCCATTATTCGTAAAAGCGTATAAGTGTAACGTATAAACGAGGAAGATTGATCCTTCAAGTTAGTTAATTTTATCCCTCATCCCAGTATGCACGCTAGATCACTACTAGATTAAAAACTACGGAATTATATCGCGATAAAAATGTTACGCTAACGATAATTATTATTATAATTATAATTATTATTATTATTACTAACGTCATCGTGAAAAAATCTTACTTGTAAAAATCCGCGGCTCTCGGAAAACACGCTTTTTAGCTTTTTTTCTTAAAAAGTATCATACCGAAAATATATATATTGTCGTATAAGAACTTTCCTTTCTCAAATATTGTGACAATTCTCTAAAAAGTTTTTATTTATATCTAAGGATGTGTGATTCTCGCTGACTCTTATTATTTTCTTTGTTTCATCATTTAACGCACGTGAAAATTTGGCAAAGTAGAAGGAACACCAGCAACAACAAACATCCTAAATAATTATTACGTTTTCGCGAATCCCCAGATAACAAGCATACGTCATTTTGACGTCAAATGACATCATTAGACATCAAAATGACATCATTTTGACGTTATCATTATAAATGCACTTTACATTTTGATGTCATTATTATAAATGTACTTTACAATACCCAAATACAGGTACTAAAATTCGAATTCAAGTACATATTTTTTATCTTGGAGTTCGAGTACTACTTGTACAAGTAGTACTTCAATTATTTACGATAAAAAATACTTATAAGTACCATTTCAAACTTGCATGTAAACTCAAATACTAACATTCGAATTCAAGTATCAAAATAGATTTTTAAATCTTGGAGTTCAAGTACTACTTGTAAAAGTTCTTAAATTTTTACAATAGAAAGTACTTATAAGTACTAGTTCGAACTTTACAGGTATCCAAATATTAAAATTCGAATATAATTGTTCTAGATTCGCAAGTACAATACATAAAGTATAAAATATTATATAATATATAAATATTATAATAAGAAATATCTTACAAGTACTATTCCAATCTTAGAAAATCTAACTTGATTATTAAATTCAATTTAATAATGAGAACGTTAAAATGATATCATTTTGACGTTTAATGACGTCAGTTTGCTACTTGGGCAAAGAATATAAACGAGTATAGAAGCACGGTTCTCGGTACCCCGGGATCACACATGCTGGGGTACTTGCGTATATAGTAAGTACCCCAGCCATTTGCATTCCAGAGAATAATAGTACTGTCAATATCAAAGATAATACAAATGATACTCCACTGCTAACAGCTGTAACATAATAGCAAAGAATATAGATCGTCTATATTCTTTGCCCACCGAGAACCGTGGTTTTATATTTGTCTATATTCTTGACTTAGGTCTACCGAAGGAACAAGGAAAGATATATATATATATATAGAGAGAGAGAGAGAGAGAGAGAGAAAGAGAGAGCGAAAGAAAGAGAGAAGAGTGTATGTGTTGTCACGCGAATAGTTGCTAATAATTAATTAATTAATAATTACTGATAAAATAATTCTTAAGTGCACGCGTCTTAGGATTATATAACTAACTGTAGCAATTAAGTAACAAACTCGATATATATATATATATATATATATATATATATATATATATTATGTGACTAGCGGACATCACGTAACTTTAGCCTTGTTCTTCCTGAAGGCCGGAAAGTGTAGCTTCCTGCGTCTCCGTTTAAGCTCGTCGTTGTCGGCTGTTGAATTAGAGTCGGTCGAGAGCGTCTCGTCGTCGACCGACATCACCGTAGGTAACTCGCGAAGGGGCTTCTTCACGCTCATCGACGTAGGACGGTAGGACCTGTCCGAGACGTCCAGGGAATTTTCCGAGTACGACGTCTTTGGCGGAAGGATCGAGGAAGCCCTCTCCTCGTTCAGCACGTTCGTATCCTGGCTGTAGGACCGCGTGATACTGGATTTCTCTTTGGGCGAGGAGGCGCCAACGACCTTCCCTACGGCTGGCTCTTCGGGTCCGTCACCCACCACGAAGTGGACTACCCCGGCTGAAGGTTCCTTCTCGGTTTCGCTGCTCGACGAGTCCGAGAGCTCGCTGCCAAATCGACCAGCGGGTGGTACCGATGACTCCTTCCACGCAGAGTTCTCCAAAATACCTACGAATATGGTCAAGTAATGTTCCAGAGTTCAATTGCAATTCCTTTATCCGCTACTAATCTACTGCGCTACTGATAGTTAACTGATAAGAGGAGAGAAGCAAAGTTTAGATCGTATTTAGCGGAAAAGTCTTCATTTTGGTTCTCGCTTTAACCCATAGCGGAAGATGCAGCGATATATAGCGATGGGATTAAGTATTTTAGAAGTAGGTTCAAATTTGCAACTTTATATAATTATTTACAAAGAGAAGAAAAAAGTTTAAGTAATTTGAACTTAGTTCAAACTCTCTCTCCATAAGTATTCAAATAATAAAACAAGTACATTCAAACTTGAATTAAGCATGCTTGAACATTTTATGAGTATTTGAATCACCATGAGTACTTTTGTGAGTACTTGAACCTATCATGAGCACTTTTGTGAGTACTTGAATCTATCACGAGCACTTTTGTACTTGAATCTATTATGAGTACTTTTATGAGTACTTGAATCTGTTATGAGTACTTTAATTTATTGTAAGTATTTAAATTTATTATAAGAAATTTTATGTATCATAAATAAATTTTTTTTGGAATTCAAATACTTGTAAAAATACTTAAATTTTTACAATAGAAAATACTTTAAAGTACTATTTATAACTTTACAAGTATTCAAATACATACAGGTATTAAAATTCGAATTCAAGTATAGATTTTTTATTTTGGAGTTTCGAGTACTACTTGTACAAAGTACTTCAATTATTTACGATAAAAAATACTTGTAAGTACCACTTCGAACTTGCATATATGTAAACTTAAATACTAAAATTCGAATTCAAGTATCAAAATAGATTTTTTAAATCTTAGAGTTCAAGTACTACTTGCAAAAGTTCTTAAATTTTTTACGATAGAAAGTACTTATAAGTACTAGTTCGAACTTTACAGGTATCCAAATACTAAAATTCGAATATAACTGTTCTAGACTCGCAAGTACAATACATAAAGTATAAAATATTATATAATATATAAATATTACAAGAAATATCTTACGAGTATTCAAATCTTGGAAAATGTAACTTGATTATTAAATTCGATTTGGATTTTTGAATACATATTGAATTTGATCCCATCCCTAACGAGATAATATCGCTCGCATCGTGAAAGTTTTCCTTCATTTACCATTTTCCATAGCTAATATTAAAATACACATATGACATACAAATTTGCGCCAGCAAAATGCATTTCATTATTCAGCTACATGTTCTATCTCTGATGCTTATAATTATTATTAATTATATAAAAAATATTAACTTTTTAATTAAATCACGTCAGTTCTTTGAATTGCATATAAAAGAGCCGCACAATAAAATCTTCATTATCGTAAAAGTTGAAAATAACACTCTTTAAAAAATTTCATGAATTATATTCGATTTTAAATAATAATTTCTACGTAGGTATGTATAAGAGTACATTACACTCTTGTTTAATAACATGCAAGCAATTTTAATTTCTAGCTAGGTTTCAAAAAATGTAAAACATGCAACAAAAGTTGGAGCACTTGATAGAGGTCATATTAACAAGCTCTCATAGTTTTTGCTAAGCTTACTTAAGTTTATTATAATAGCGATTACTTAATACAGAAAAATAACGCCAGCATGTTACGTAATCATTATAAAAACAAAAGACACACATACACATATTGGATTCATATTGTACTGTACACAATATGTATATGGAACCTATTTCCCAATATTCCTTCACATACATACACACACGCACGAACATATCCATATATATACATATATACATATGTTAAATTGCAAAACATAGTTTAGAAAATCACTTTTGGGAAAACAATTTAAATTTTAAATTGATAATGCGTCCTTTTTACAATTAGATGTTTTTATCACTGGAATAAAACAAGATATATGTGTATGTGTGTTGTGTATGTATATATGTATATATGAAGAGACATACAAAATTATCTCCAAATATTCACAATTCAGTTATTACTAATAAAATCAATTCTCTAACAATATATGTATATAATGCCTATAAAATATATTAATTGATCCAAAATTCGAGATTTACGTAAACAATTTTATATATATATATTTTAATATTTATAGTATTTTTATATTTATAAGTCTATATTTTTAATATTATTTAATATTATTAAAACGTTATAGTACACGTCTCAAAAATATTATAATGCTTTATTCCCTGTGTATGTATAAACATATGTAATTAATTTTATGATATTCTTTGTTCCAGAATTCATGCTTATATATACATTTATATAAAACATATTCATTAATATATATACTTTTGTATCTTGCTGCATTTTGTAATTATATAATATTTTAATCAATAATTAATAATTATTCCTATTGTCATGTACATGTTGCAGTCAAATCTAACACTACAAACAAATAACGGAAATGCAATTAAATATTTAAAAGAAAAATCAATCACATAATTTTTTTATATTTTATGTAATAAGACAAATTATTGCACAAATTTCTTTTAATGTATGCACAATTTTTATTATAATTAAATATGCTCATAATAAAAACACAAAAACACACTATATCATTCTACAATTCTTAATGAAAACTAATTATATTAAAAATCATCAAGTTTTATTTACTGTTCCTATATATATATATATATATATATATATAATATATATATATATATATATATATAGGATAAATAAACTTGATGATTTTTATATAATATATATATATATATATATATATATATATATAGGAAAAGTAAATAAAATTTGATGATTTTTAATATAATTTGTTACTCTATATATATATATATATATATATATATATATATATATATATATATATATTAACAATAGTTTTATATACATACATTTAATAATTTTTATATTTTATTTACATTGCAGAATATTATTATAATTATCTATCATGATATTGTTTTTTGATCTTTTTCTCCTTCTTAACATATTTAATTGCATTAATGAGTATTTGTATAAAATCAATTTTTTATTTGTCATTTTGTACACTACGCATCTAGTGGAAGTAGTATTGTTTATAAATATTATAAGTATTCTTTAATTATACTCTTTAATTATATTCTTCAAAAAATTAAGCTTTATTAAGTTTTGTATTGATATGGTATATATTGGCACAATAGTAGCATAATTTATTATAATTGTTTTTTCAAATATAATTTTTTATATATCATACAACATTTGCGTAATGAAATGCCTTTTACATTCCTTATTCGCACATGTTGATCACTTTACGTTAAATGTACATCCAAGGCACACGAAATTTTAATATCAACGTGACTTAATCCTATTAATGTTATATATCTGTTATTAACACAAAAATATCAATATCAAAAAAGAGAGAAAAAACCATGTCGGAATTGTGACGGCAGAGGCGAGAAAACGCAGGCTAAAAATTCTTAGATGCCATTTCAAAATATTCTTTTGATTTAAAAATGGCATTCAAGAAGAATTTTCAGTGTGTACTTTTTTGTCAGTGACGTCATAATCTAACATAATCGCGGCGAGGACTCAGGAGCTTTAAAACTCGTTAGTAAATCATCATGAGAAAGTTTTCCTGTGTGATGTTGTATATACGCGCGACATATAGACAGGGCACAGTGGTATTTAACAATAAAATGAGCATCGATATGTCAATCTAAGTACTCATTGGAGTCCGTATCCAGCTTACCTGCGACTGCGCTGACCGATGACGGTGTGTACAGTGAACTTGCCTCATCATCTAAATCATCCTGACTACTAAGTCGTCCTATAATACATTATAAAATTATTTAAACATTTGTAATTAAATCAATAAGAAAATATGTATAGATATAATTTTCTAATTTTTAATTAATATACAATTTAAAAGATAGAATGATAATTGTTAATAGCTAAATTATATAATATATAAATATTATGTCTAATATATTATATAATTATATATAATTATAATATATAATATATATAAATATATTATATAATTATTATAATTATTATATTTAATTATTATATAAATTAAAATAGATTTAATCTATTCTATGATCAATGAATATAGATTAAATGAAAATAGATTAAATTACCTCTTAATCCAAGACCTCTACCATTAGGTGTCCCTCTGTACAAAACGGTCTCTAAATAACTTAATCCATTATTATTAATTATATTAAAACCACAAAGCAATTCAATTTGTTTCCAACGGTGTACTCTCTCTTTCAATTCATTCGTTACTTCATTCAGGGCAGTTCTTGCCTCAACTATACTCTTATCAACTTCGTCGATGGATTTTCCATGAGTCGAAACAAAGGCACCCACCAAACTGGAACGTTTCTTTCGTAATTTCTCACACTGCAAAACAATAAATAAATTTTATTTTTAGCAACAGAATATTTTTCCTGGCAAGCTATTAATTATAAAGAAGATGAAATAATATGTAAATATATAAAAAAAGATGATGTCACAATGTATGAATTGCATAATATATTGAATAATTTAAATAAATTTTTCTCACCGCTTCTCGTGCTTGTTGAAGCTGTTTTTCAGCTGCTATCTTCTTATTAGTATACGCTTTGTTCTCAATTTCATGAGTTAATTGTAGCCAATGCTGCAGTCCAGCTGGTGGCGACCAACATCTATCTTCAAGTTCACCCTCTGCTCGTTGTAATTCCAGCTTCAGCATCTATAAGATATATATATATATATAGATTGATATAAATTGATAAGAGATTAGAACTGTGTTACTAAATATATTCATAATATGTATAATATTATATAATATAAATATATATATTTAATATTATATATATATATATATATATATATATATATAATATAATATAATATATATATAATATTACAGTATATATAAAATAAATATAAAATAAATTAGAAACTGCATTAACTTCGATTTCCGCCTTTAGTTGCGATACTTCAAGATCCGAATATGAAGTATGTAATCCCAAACTTTCATCTTGCAAACGTTTTTCCAAATTTTGTTTTTCAGTCGCCGCACTTTCCTGTTCCATTCTTGCTCTCTCTAGCTCTTTCTGCAATCATTTATAAAATATAATTTAATACAATTTCTTAGTTAAAGTGATTTATTTGTAATTGTATTAGACAATCAACTTTTCCAGGAAAATTACCTGTAAATTTTCCAAGGCAAGTTCTGCCTTGTGTAAGCTTTCCATGTCTTTCATCATTCTATGAAGATGCTTTTGGGAATTTTTCTTTTGTTGATATGCGTACCAGCATCCAATAAGTGCTCCAAATAACAATGTAACTAATACTAAGTCTTTGACACTATGTCCTGTATCTAGTAATTAATAAGTATATAATTAATTCTCTGAAATAAATATATTTTATAGATTTATATGTCAGAATATTAAGTATCACCTTTAGGAGGACCAAACAAAACAACATCCATCGCTTTTAAGGCAATTTTTTGTTTGTGAATAGGATCTTTAATGCCCAGAACATTATTAAGATAATGCATATTGTTCACAGCTAATCTGAAATAAATTATAATGAAAAATTTATATATATATATATATATATATATATATATTTTTCCTTCTTGAAGAATCATCATAATAATAAACTCACCGAGGAAGCGTAGCACCAGTCACACGATGCTGTATGAAACTAGGAACATATTGAGGAAGCTCAACATTGGAAGTTAACCATTCCGATGTTTGTTCTATTGTCCAGTTATGAACCTAATATACAGAAACATGACAATATGTGAGATATAATAATTACATGTACTGTAAAATCACAAGTATCTCTTTATTACTATCTAAAAATTTTAGTATTACTTCAGATCGTAACCAAGCTTCCCAGAGCTCTCGTACACTGATATGCATATCATCATTATGATGAAAAGCTCTCTGTCTTCGTTCATAACCAGCTTCGTACTGCAATTCTTCTCTTAAAAACTGTCAAAGTTAAAAATACATTCATTATAATACCTTGTATATATGTAATTTTTGTGCAATATATGTAAAAGTCAAATCCAATAATCAAGTTTTATTTTCTAGGATTTGAATAATATTTAAGAAATATTATATTTCATATATTATATCTAGTATATTTTGAATTTTGAATCTAGAGCATTTATATTTGAATTTTAGTATTCGAGTAACTGCAAAGTTCGAAATAGTACTTGTAAGTACTTTCTATCGTAATTAATTAAACTTTTACAAGTAATACTCAAATTCCAAGATAAAAAAATTTATTTATGATATTTGATTACAAATTTTAGTATTTGAGTACCTGCAGGATTCAAAGTAATACTTGTATTTTTTATTGTGAATTTTTCACAAGTAACTCGAACTTTAATATAGAAAAATCTATTTATAATACTTACACAATGTAAAATTTATATATATAAGTACTCAAAAGATTTGAACATACTTAATCCAAAGTACTTGAAAATATTGGTTTTTTTTTGTAAATAATCATAAGAAGTTTTCTGGCAGAAAAACACAGATAGACACAATACGATGCAATTGGCTATCAAATAGAAAATTTTTAAAGTTCCAAAAATTGTTCTATTCAATAACCAATTGTGCAACATTGTATAGTGTGCGTTTTTTTCTGAAAAATTCCTGTAGAGTATCGATTTTATAATCCACACTTTATTTTACACATGTATATGATTCTAACAGTTGCTGAAGTTGCGTAAACCATACTTAACTTAATAAATCATACTTATTCAAGAATCTGTGCATTATTTATCATGCTAGACTTTTAATCAGCCTAATACTATATTGTTTATTCACTCCTATACTGAGCTCTAAACCATCACCAACAAATATCCTTACATCGTCCGATTCTGATAGATCAACATTTCCATTGGCATCGTCATCCAGTTGACTGTGAAGAGACTTAATAGCTTCTAAGCCCAGTCGATCATGAGAAGCCATAGTGATGCAAGCCAAGTCGTCGTTGCAGGTATCCATAGCTGGAAACAAATTGAGTTTAGACACAGCGCATCAAAAGGAGAAACGTTAAAAGTGACAGCTGACTCGAAGAGAAACATTAAATGTCAAAAGTGACAGCTGACTCGGGGAGAAACGTCAAAACTGATAGATATTTCGGGGAGAAATGTCAAACGTCAAAAGTGACAGATGGACTCGAGAAACGTGAAACGTTAAAAGTGACAGCTGACTCACTGGACGACTCGTGGGCCACCGCCTGGGCCAGACCATCGGTGAGGCTCGCGGAGAAGGCGATTATCTTGGAATGTGGAGTGCCGGTGGCACTCGCGGTCTGAAAGGTCGGGGTGGAATCGAGGGCCCCTCCGGTAGCCGCAACCAGATCGAGCAGCCAGTAAAACATATGAAGGATCCCCAGGAGCGGAAGCGCGTTCGCGGAAGATGCCCGCATCTTCTTCTAGGTTAGCGCACTAGCTGTTCTTCCTTCGACGAGATTCGGACACCTCCTCCTCCGAGAGAGAGAGATCTCGACGCCGATTTGCGATCGCGCAAATGATAATACGGTGTATCAAGGTTACGACAATTCGGAACCGGACCGACGATATATCGCGACCAGCGCATAACAAGCGTGACCGATTTTACGAGCCTTATTATATTTATAATTAACGTTGTCACGCGCCGATCTTATCAGACCCCGACCAAGGCAGATCCTCAGGACTCGTCTTCTGCGGCCGATGACGATACATGAAAAAGTGATCGATCGCTCTTCGTTAATTAAAGCGAATTAAGTACATCGCACACACATATATGCGCGCACTACCGCCAGCCCGAAGATCAGATGTTTTATCCCCAAGGCTACTAATAGCACTTCCGATTCGCACTACCGACCCGCCGATCGATTTAAGATCAACTTTCATGTGAACTCGGTTTGGCGTATTATATGTCTATGATGGATAAATAGAGATTATATATTTATTTTTTTGCATTTTCTTATATTTAGTAGTCCAAAGTACGCCTTTCTATATTTTATAAATATATATGTGTACTTTGGGTTATGTTCTGAAAAAGTTTCTTCCGAGAAAAATTTTTATTTCGTGGCCTTGTGCTGAATTTTGTTCCAAAACGGTTCCGAATTGGTACCAAACCGGTTATCGAGTCAATTTTTTTTACTTTTTTTATTTTTTATTTATTTATTGATTTATTTTTTAAGAGGAAGTTTCGATTTCTGATATAATTCATTTATATTTTGGGTTATGTTCTGAAAATTTCCTCCAAGAAAAATTTTTATTCCGTGATCTTGTGCCAAATTTTTTCTCCAAAACGGTTTCGAATTGGTCCCGAACCGGTCATCGAGAATTTTTTTTTTCTTGAAGAGGTTTTCGATTTTATAAAAATTATTGCAAGGTTACAAAAAAAAATAGAAAAAATGTCCACCAATAGAAAAATAAGGAATAGAAATTGACCAATCACAGTCGAGTATTATTCTTATATTTGGTCGATTTCTTAAGGTCCTGCGTACAATAGAGAAAATATTAGAAATAAATATTAAATATTAAGAATAAGAATTATTTCAAAGTTATATATATAAAATCGAAAGGACTGATATAAAAATACAAATTTGGGACTAATAAATTAATAGAAGGATTTTATACTTGAATTTGTATTTGTTTATCAGAATTTTTCAATTTTTATTATTTAAAATAATTCCTAATATTTAATATTTAATATTTATTTATAATATTTTTTCTATTGTGCATAAGGTTTAAGGTTTAGGGCTTAAATAATAAATATTAATTATATAAGTGTATGTATAGGATTACAATAAATGTATCAATATTTTTTATACTTTTTCTTCTTTCCATTTTTTGTGTAATATTACAAAATATTATATTCGAACTAATAAAAATTTAATTCTGCAATTAAAAAAAAAAATTATATATATAGTCTATGTCAGTACACTATAGATTTTAGTATAGACATATATATATATACTATAATATATATATCTAAAAAATTAAATATAAAGTTAACGAATAAATAACAAAAATATTGCACAAATATCGAAAACGAGGATAATCATCAGATTAGTTCTACATATTTTCCTTTTTTTTTGCAGAGATGAAGAAAATGAATTCTGATATTCTTACGATACGTTGCTTCAACGATATCGATGTATACGAGAAAATCCTGGCTGCGTCAGACATATAAATAAAGAAGCACCCGACATTTGTTGACGCTCGAATGACGAGTTCGCGCGTTTTTCGCTCCGGAATATTCATCTGAGGGAGAAGAGGCGGCCCGCGAGGATGTCGTGCGCGAGGAAGGGCTCGGGGGAGATCTGTTTTGATACGATTTCGCTTTGAGTCGAGAAACGAAATCCAAGTGTGTTTTGATGCGAGACAGAAATGGCGGATATTATATTTATCACGCATTTCGTACTCTTGTTGACATTCAAATTATGTTCAGGTACGGAGGATCAATTATCGCGAATTAAGTACGAGCGATACTCATCGTAATTGACGTATAATTCCGAGATTATGTGTAATTTTGCACTCGGGTTGTTCTCAATCTCAGTGAAGATTCTTAGATCTTTGTCAGACTAGACATATAAAAAATTAAAAATTAAATATTACATAAAAAAATATATATATATATATATATAAATAGAGAAAATTCAATTTATATAATTTATAGCAGATTTCGTGACTTTTCATTAATTTTCAATTTATATTCCAAAAATATTATTTCTAGCACTTAAAATCTTGATGTGAAGGTATATTTGTTATTTTTAAAGCATAATTTAAATTTTTTAAATTCTTTTAATGCTTTTTTTCAAGCTATGAAAAGAAGAATTCACTTGTTGCAGCAAAAAAATTACAACTTAATTTTCTAAAATTTTTCCAGGCGAAGGAGAGATTGCGTTGCAGGAGCAAGACATTTCTGTTGACAATGAAAAGTTAAATATACCTGAGCCATTGGAGCACAGTCTCAGTAGCAACGCAATTGGTCATAAACATTTCAAGTGCCATATATGTGAAGATTCCGAGTGTTCGTTACCTAGTATCTGTGAAGATGCGATTACTGTAAACATTTTTTTAACATTTTTTATTCTTATACAGTGTGTCCCTGAATGAAACTATCATTTTTTAATGCATGCAGTTCTTGAGAAAACAAAAATTATGTTGAAAAGAGGAAAATCTACAATTTTTAGTGGATATAAATAAAATCTTTATGTACCAGTTTATTTGATTGATAAAAAGTAATGAAAAAAATGCTAATAATCACATAAACTAATGATAAATATGTTCAGCAGTGCTAGATTTAATAGTAGCTATTAAAATAATTGTCAATAACATTAAAAATGACATGTTAGAAAAAGTTTTTACGAGTTTTTGTAAAAGAATAGAATTAAGTACAAATTCAAATGGTGTGCACTTCGAAAATATTTATCATTAGTTTACATATGTGATTATTAGCACTTTTTCCTTACCTTTTTATCAATAAAATAAATTGGTATATAAACATTTTATTTATATCCATTACAAAATGACAGCTGATTAGTTTTCAGCATTTTCTTATGGGACACCCTGTATATTCTTCAACATCTCACATATATTCTTTCTTGTAGAATATAAATCGACATTACTTTGTTTCCATAGTGTTGGAAGTCCAGGGTGAGAGAAGCTGATGGTACTGAATCCGTTAGTCGTGGCTGTTATAAATTAGAAGAACATAAGTTGTTTATGTGTAATAAAGACGGCAACCAAGATGGAGAACGTAAGGAAAGACATACTAGAGGATTAGGAGGTGGTGTTCAATATTCCGTGGAATGCTGTCAAGCAGATTTTTGTAACATTGGACCATATCCTGTGCTACCAGATTATTCGACTAGTAAGATAATTTATGCATACGTATAGAAAAATATTTAAGAAAATATTATGCCCCTAATTATTTTGCACAAAAGATTTATCGAGGTAAGATAATCGAAAAATGAGTATTTTTACAAGATATTTTATAGTTTATATAAAATTGTATTAAGTATAAAATATCTCGTAAATTATTCATTTTTGGGCCATCTTACCTTGTGATTTTTATGCCAAATATTGTAAGGAATAAATTTATATAAAAAATTAGGGTGATTCTATTTAAAAAATTCAGATCGACTTTCAAATGACCTTGAAACACGATCTTAATTAAAATTCTAGATTATTAATTTCTTTCCCCTTCAAAATTAAACAACTTTTGTTTGAAACATATGTAAAATTGAATTGTAATAAGATGATGGATTTTGTTTTAGAAGCAATTTTTATATTTTTCACACTGCTTTCAGATGCCGATAGAGGAAACTATGTAGTGAAGTTAACATTCGCGATTCTTGGACCAATGGTCGGATTGGTCGTCATTTCAGCAGCTCTATTCTGTTTGCTGATGCATCGAACGCGAAGGAAAAGGCCGATCACGTCGTCGCGTCGGAACAAACTTATTTTAGATTCCGAAATTGAGCCTTCCATGTTACATTTCTCCTTTTCATCGCCCGCATCGTCTGCCACTTATCATCCACACGAAGTTAGGGCAACGGCTGCCGGTGACAGTACACTTAAGGTACTATATAGTGCCACTTTGTTTTATTTATCGATGTTTTACACATTACATCTGTTAATTAATTGTATTTACCTCGTAACTTTTTATGCCAAATATTGTGAGGAATTGATTTATATAAAAAAATTGGGGTGATTCCATTTAAAAAACTAAGATTGACCTTCAAATGACCTTGAAACACGACCTTAATTAGAAGTTCTGAATTAGTAACTTCAACTATATATTCTTCTAGGAGTATCTAGACGGCCGAAGTTTGACCAGTGGCTCCGGTTCTGGCTTGCCCCTGCTAGTGCAAAGAACTTTAGCGAAGCAGGTAGCTTTAGTGGAGCGTCTGGGTAACGGAAGCAGCGGAGGATTCGGCGGTGAGGTGTGGCGAGGGATCTGGCACGGCGAGAATGTGGCTGTAAAGATTTACTTCTCGCGGGACGAGGCCGCGTGGGCGCGGGAGACCGAGGTCTACTCTCAGTTGTTGCCCTCTAGGCACGACAATATCCTCGGATACGTTGGCAGCGACATGACCAGCAGAGCCAGCTGCACCCAGCTCTGGCTGGTGACGCAGTACCATCCCCTCGGCTCGCTCTTCGATCATCTGAATCGGTCGCCGCATCCGCTGACGCCCCATCAAACGCTCAATATTTGTCTGAGCATCGCCAACGGCCTGCTTTACCTGCACACGGAGATTCACGGCACCAGGGGAAAGCCGGCTATGGCCCATCGTAATCTCAAGTCGAAGAACATCCTGGTGAAGACCAACGGCGGTTGCGTGATCGCCGATTTCGCGCTAGCGGTCACTCAGGATCGCCTTACGGCAGATATAGTCGATACGCAACTATATCAAGGAACTAGACGCTACATGAGTCCAGAACTTCTCGATCAGACGTTAGTGGAGTGTTTTTTCTCTCGTTCTTACTTAATACTTCTAGACCAAAATTAAACGGCAATTGCTAGGTGCCAATTAAACAAAAAAATTGTTTCCTCTTTCTTTTTTCATACACTAGGACAGGAAGCTGGCTAAATTGATGATGAATGGTGCTCTGTTTTATTTTCAGAATGTTCTTCGGGTGTTTAGAGAACTTTAGACGGGCGGATATCTATAGTTTAGGATTGGTGATGTGGGAGGTCTGTCGCAGATGCATAAGCAACGGCGTGGCCTTGGAGTACGCGAAGCCATATTACGAATGGCTGCCGAGCAACAATCAGGAGCCTTCTATAGAAGAAATGCACAAATTAGTTTCGCTCGACCAACGTAGGCCGCCGCTTCCTAATAGATGGCACTCCAACCCGGTAAATAATCAGTATTAGGCATTGAATTTTAACTAGCCGGTTTATCCCATAAGGGTTTACAAGACATTTTTGATAGAAGCGCTTCTGAACCTTTGCAATAACTTCCCAGATAGCAAACGTATGTCATTTTGACGTCGAATGACGTCATTAGATGTCAAAATGACATCATTGATATTACAATGACGTCATTAGATGTCAAAATATGTCATTGATGTCAAAATGTCGTTATTTCATTACTACAATTCTCCTTTTTCTTATCTTCATCCTCTTTCTTTTTCCTCGTTTCTTCCTCTTCACAATCTTCTTAAGGGGATGCTGACTGTGTCTGTTTTTTATCGATAAATATTATTTTTATTTAACTATTTATTGGCTATGCAGAATGAAAAATTTTTTACTAAAATTAAAGTATTCATAATAATAATTCTGGGCTACTATATATATATATATATATATATATATATATATATATATATATATATGAAAAAAAACCAAGAAGGCTAAACAAAATTATAGTTTTAAAATTATAGTTTTCTTATCAGTCTTTTGCATTAGGTCAACCTAAACGATAGAAAACTAATTATTTAACAGGGTTGGGGATAAGTTATAGATAATGATTTTTTAAAATCAATAAGTTAAATTAAAGTTAGTTGTTATAAAATTAATTTAGTTAAGTTAAAAGTTGCATAAACAAAAAAACTCAGTTAAAGTTGAGATTAAATTAACTGAAGTAAAATCAAAAGTTAATTTTTAAAAACATTTATATTAAATTAGAATTTTGTTTGTTAATTCTTTTAAAATTTATAATAACAAATAACAGAAATTTTGATTTTATATAAAAATATATTTTTTGGTAATTACAATTGATGATAAATGAATAGAAAAATTAATAATACGTTTATAACTTATAAAAAAACAATAATGGTATTCAGACATAAAAAATATAACTTATTGTTAGGAAAAAAGTTAATAAGTTTAAGTTCAAAAATAACTAGTTGAAGTTAAAAAATAATTCATTTTAAATTAATAAGCTAAGTTAAAAATTATTAACTTTTAAATAATTAACTAGTTATTATCCAACCCTGTTATTTAACTTTCTTGGTTTTTTTTATCATCCTACGACTTTATATGAATCTGAATTATTTATGATGCAAATAATTGAAATAATCCCCTAATTTTGCAGACACTGGCCGGGATGGGAAAACTGATGCGAGAGTGCTGGCATGGGAAACCGGCTGCCAGACTACCCATTCTTAGGGTAAAGAAGACGCTCGTGAAATTAGCAGCTAGCGATTCTCGTGTTCATTTACCGCTCGATTGACCAGCGTTCATCCTTTTCGAGCTCTTTTTCATCCATGTATTTATTACTGTTACTGCGACAAGTCGCCACGCGCATTGCAAGTTCGATCATTACCATTATTATCACTATCATCATTATTATCATCATCATTATCATTATGATCATCATCATCATCAACAATCGTGCGTTATCGTATGCATTATATCAAGAAGATGAGGAAATATCGCATATTGACATATCGAAATAACAAATGTTAATACGTTTGTTAATGTTTGGCATATGAATTCTGTTGCCTTACGTTCTATATTACTGTTACTATTCTGGAACAGTGGTAGTATTAAGTGTATAGTTTCGTAGTATCGATTGAATCAGATCGTTAAGTACAGAATGTTGTTAATTCAAGATGGTGCAAAATTATCTGTCAAAAAGCAGACATATTCGTAGAAATGTATGAATTTTGTTTGTATCAGAGCGACCGCATCAGCAGTTTTGTAGGACGCATTATACAGGGTGTTATAAAAGTACCGGAACAGCAGAATAATTCGAAAAATATGAATCCTAGAAAAAATGTTAAGTACTGGGTTTTTATGATTTTTTCAAGGACTCATATTTTTTAAGTTATTCTGCTGTTCCGGTACTTTTATAACATCCTGTATATGAAAAATAACTTAATTATAGAGTTTTGGAAAGCTCTAAAGATAAGTTACAAAAATATGCAATAAAAAATGAGTTTCTGTTAAAAAGTTTCAAGATGATCTTTATGTGACCTTGACAATGCTAATCAAGGTTATAATACTACTATATAATGTGTCATTTAGAGCCCTATAACTTTTGTATGAAACGTTTTTGAAAATAGTTTCCTCAAAAAACTGCTGATACGGTCGCTTTGATACAGAAATTTTAGAAATGTGACTTTCATGATCAAAAGTTCAATGAAAGTATAATTTGTATGTATATAGTAATCATTATTTTAATTCATTATGGAGATGAAATTGAAGAAACAGAGGGTTTCTATTAAACTTAAGTTTTTAATGTAATTTCTAAATAATTTTGGCTCGATTCAATTCAAACTATCATATGAAAATCTCTTCAATCAATAATATACTATTATTCAGTAAATTTTTTTTTAGGATTTTTAAGCATCCCAATAAGTGATCAAAAAATATTTGTAAATAGTGCGTATGTCTTTGTATCAATATAGCTATTATGCAATTAATTACGTAGCTATTGTCATGTCTTTTTCATAAAAATCATCAGCAAGAGGTATGAAAGAAAGATAGGAATAAGAAAGTAAGCAAAGACTATATTACATACAAAAGATAATATACATCTTTCTGTATAATACTTGTAATAATTTCACAAACTGCTTTCTCAAGCTACGTTAAACTTGGCGATCGCGACATAGAATCATTTCAATTTTCTGGTTCAAAATAGAAATGCAGCAAAGAATAAAGGTGATCGCCAAATAGAGCGTAGCCTTATTTGGCGTTTATATAAATAAATAATAATCTAATGCATTATTAAAGTGGAGGATGAATGTATAATAGCAGAAATATGTAGTGTACAATCATATGTAATAAAATTATTGTACAAAGGTTTTTGTACGTAACACAAAAATGATGACGTATTGACTTAACATGAATATAATACAATGCGAAATAGCCTTATTTAACTCTGATCACTCCTCACAGCCTTATTAATTCTGATCACTTCTCGAGAGGTAACAACAGTAATCTTCTTAACAGTACTTCGTTATCTGAACTTTGAGTACCGATGCATTGCTCCAAGAATTGCTGGAGATGCAACGGATCATTTGTATGTAATAAAATAATGAATGCGTATCGCCATATCAGAGGTTCCAATTCAACTGGATATTCCAAGAGTTTGGGAAACAATTTCAATGCACTCTTCCAGTCTTGACGAGCGATGTAAGATTGCATCTCCGATAAGGCCAAACTCTTTGAGAATCCTACAAGTGACGTTCTGCCTCTTCTGCCATCCTGAAATCTCTTGCAATAATGAGCCTTGCGATCGTTCGCTCTCACTTCCTCCGCATCCCTTCGCCGTTTTTTATCAGTCTTATGTTTTGCTATCAGTTTCACAGCTCTTTTCTGAAAAGTCGAAAATTATAACTTGTACTAAATTTTTTTATAATTGTCATTTTATATCGTTATGCTTAAAAAAAATTATATACCACGTTAGATTTTGTAATTTTGCGAGTTGACGTCAAATCGCACATGATCGTCCTGTGCACATTTATTATTATTTCTTAGATTTCTGTTTCATATCAAATGAAACTACTGCATCGATAAGTCCATGTGTTCTAATTTTTTGATGAAGATGAGTCTTGCCAAGTTTATACCTAAAAATTTGCATACATTATACGATTTGATCATGCGAAAAAAAGGAAAAAAAGAAATCTAGAGTATTTTTTTCTTACAAATTTCAGGATGAAGATTAAGCATTGCTACTGCAGAAGCGTCAACTAAAGTGTCTTCTAGCTTTGTTGGCCTCTATTGAATGGTCTTATATTGCATCGACTGCTTGTTTAAGTGAGATAGTTCTGTAAGAAACCTGAAGGGAGGAGGTTTCAAATGCAGATGTTCAGGATTTGAGTTAGTAGACATTGGATGGTTCCGGAGGAAGGCTTAGATCTGATATGTTCAATAACAAAGTGTTAGTTTTAATTTTTTCAAATTATTCAGTAGTCTCAGTCTCTGTGCATTCTCAGAATGGGCTCCAGAAAATGTGGTCAGTATCTTGGATATATAAAAATATATTCATATTTTATGAATAAATATATATATATATATATATACACACATGTAAAACATTTTTTATAAATTATCGCTTACTGCTTAAGCGATTTCTACTCTCAATATTTTTGTGCTATATAATTCTAAACCAAATTATCTGAACATTATTCCAGATAATTTAGTAAAGATAACACTTTTTTTGGCTTCAAGGGTCATTCAAACGAGAGATCAGAATCAAATGATGCATCAGGATCAGACAAGGGATCAGGAATCAAGATCAGAATCAAACAAGAGAGCAGGAATCAAACAGTGGATCAGGAATCAGGATCAGAATCAAATCAGATGGATCAAGATCAGGAGTGGAATCAGGATTAGACAAGGAATCAGGATCAAAATCAGAATCAGGAGGATGCATCAGACAAGGGATCAGGATCAGAATCAGCGACTAGGGGCATCAGAATTAGACGATGAATCACAATCAGACGTGGAATCAGAATTTGAAGAGTCACCAAGAGTCACATCAAACAAGTTATTAGAATCGGACGAGTCATCAGGATCAGACGAGTCATTAGAATCAGACGAGTCATCAGAATCGTACGAAAAATCAGATTCAGACGAGGAATCTGAATCTGTAATGGTCTGAACATCAAAATTCCACATTTCACCATCAGAGATATTTTCAATCGAGTCAGGATTCGGAAGATATTGATATAACAGACCAAGATTATGCGGAACAGCATCAAAGGCATGTTCGTCCTCCACATTGCCTTCCAGTTCCGAAGCAGCGACAGCTTCATTAAAAAATTCGTGAGAAATAACATCAGAGACCGAGGAGGTTTCTTCTAGGTTTTCCTCCAGGTTTTCTTCTACGATATCAACACACATAGTTATGGTTGTCTTCGTACTTACGTATAAATTGCGAAGCTTGCAGATCTTCCTTTTCACGTTGCCCTTCCTCCGTGAGGCGAAGAAAGATGATATAGAATGGTCGAAGATAAGGAATAATGAAAAAAGGAATTTGAGAAGAGCAATAATGACCAAAAACAAAGGCTGGTTAACAAAAGCCGAATCCGTTATGCGAATAACAAGCGGAATTAGAATATCTGATCGCTCGAATTATCCTTTTTCTGAGAAAAAAAATAAAGTTTTAGATTCGTGCAAACCGCCGTTATGAGTAGTTCAAAAATTATTGATATTAAATTGTACAGTGCAAGGAACTCGAAACCACGTGTTGCCAACAAGAACGGACAGAATCAAAGCAGTCTTCTTGGATCTGGGATCAGAGAGAAGAAAGCTTAGCAGGATCTAACCAAACCTAATCCCCTTACCCTAACAAAAACAAATCTTTTAGTAGCAATCGAACATGATTGGTTCTTATTTTTAGGGCTAACTAGAGTCGCTAGAAATCCCTATTAGGGACTTTAGAGCCAATCAGCCAATCAAACCTAAAGGGGTGTGACGTCCTGCCATTGGTCGAAACCCAAATTTTTTCGCGCTAACATCATTTCTGTCTAAAGAGAAGACCGTCATTTTTGTTATTTACCGACACACTTTGCCCCTGGTTCGAGTCCAGGCTAATTCATTATAAAACGTATACGTATTAGTATTTTCACATATTAAAATAATTAGAATAAATTAAATTAATTATTAAAAACTAAAAATTAATTAAACGACTTAGACTTAGATGATAATAATAATGAAACATTTATTAAAAAATAATTATAATAGGTCAGGTTAATATTTTATTTATTTATTTATTTATAACATCATAAAATTCTGTCCTTTCCGAAATACGCGAACGCTACGAAAAGATAAATCTCGTACATGCCGCCGGACGAGTTCATGAGCATGAGACGCTCTTATCTTGGGAACGTATTAATAGTTACTGCATTGACCACTACTACGATATGGCGCTGAAATCAGTGAGAAATGCTGGTCTCTCCTTCATCCAGACCTTTGGCGATCTGTCTATTAATCTGTGTTGGCGATCTGTCTGTGATTGAAAAGACAATTATTACAATCAATAAAAAGTGTAGAACAGAGAGTGCAAGTGCAAGTAAAACAGAGAACAGATCTAACCTTTCGTGAACATCAGTGATTAGGTTAATTTAAAAGTCGCACGCGAGTACATACTTCAAAATTAAAAAAAAGTTAGAAATTAAAAATTGAAGACATGTTACATTATTTCACTATCCATCAAATTCGAAATTGCGACAGAGATTTTTGGAAGAATACAAGCTCGCACAAATTTCGGAAGAATCCAAGCAGCTGAGGTTTCTAATCATACCTGCGGGTTTGGTGAAAATAATAATGGAAAAATCCACAAGTAAGAAAACTATTATACAGAAAAATGAGACCGACACGTCGATATCTTCAATCTCGTTCGGTGAATCGCCCAGAAAATGCAACCTCTCCTTCTCGATCAACTTCGACTTCAACGACGTCGACAGCGAAAATTCTACGGATTCCGAAAATGCGGATTTGCAAATCGACATATCCGAGGTTGACAATTACGAGCCGTCTAGCAAGCATAAAAGGGAGGCTATCGAGGAAGCATCGGTGCTTAATAAAATGGAGGAGGAAATTGAGAGGCAGCTTGATGCCAAAGCTGCCAAGATTAATTTAACTGCTACTAATGTGAAAAATATACTGAAACACGTGATTCCTTATGAACATTTGATGACGATGATACAAAAGTGGCTACAGGATACAGAGGACGATGTCAACTTTGGTCCTAAACTCACACGAGCCAAAGCAAAGTGCGTATTGTTTTTTATTATATATTTTCTATATTTTATATTTAATATTTATATTTTATATTTTATATTTATTTTATATATTATATTTTATATTTTATATATTTTTTTATATTTTATATTTATATTTTTCCAATTTATACATAGAAATGTTATATTTATTGTTAACCAATACCTGATATCATTGGATGATACTTTTGAATTGGTCTTTTTAGGAAATTGGCAGCTGCACAGGTCAACATTCCATGGCCGATTACTACAACTCAAAAAGCTTCGTCGGAAGTGCAAGCTCTGATTCAGGAAGAACTGCCAGAGGATTCATCGGATGAAGAATATAATCCTGATCATGATAAACATACTGAGAGCGATGATGATAGAGACATGGATAATACAAGCAACGAATCACAACAATCAACATCAACAAATAATAGAAATGTGATTTGTCCTGAGCAACAAAGATCGTCGGATATACGATACGATCCTGAAGGAATTTTTAAAATACCAGCGTATGTATCATTTATAATTTATATATACGTTGCTATAACAGAAGCTAATTTTTAATTGTAATCCGAGAAACTTTTCAGACTTTTTAATTATTGCCCTACTATATATATATATATATATATATATATATATATATATATATATATTTTATGGAGTACTCTTTGAGTTATAAAGCTTACTTTGAGGTGAGGAGACTTTGTCTTATAACTCAAAAAGTACTTGAGATAAAAATGTTTTATTATAGTGTTTTGGAAAGCTCTCGATATCAGCTACAAGAATATGTAATGAAAAGTAGGTGGTTCCATTTAGGAAATTAAAGGTGACCACATGACCCTCAAGCAACTATTCAAGGTCAAACTAATGGCACCACCTTATGTCCTTTTCGAAACCATACAACTTTTGTCTAAAACATTTTTTTCTACAATCAAAAATAAAAAACTTATTTGGGGTGGAACATTAAAATGGGACACTCTGTATAATAATATTATATATAAATCTAAATCACTAGAAAGGCGTAAAGAGCCATACGCGGTTGTTACTGCGCACATTTCCAACGAAACAAAGTTTTTGTTGGAAAATAAACCGTGCATAAGGCACGTGTTATTCTCGGTATACTACCAAGATTTTTAAAGTTTGAAATAATCTCATACTTGAGATTTAATTTCAAAAACCCCTTAACCCCCCTTACGGAAATAAATAAATAAATAAATGCGAGAGAAAAATATAGATCCGAAAGTCGCTGAATCGAACCCGAGACCTTTTGCTTGCCGGGCGACTACTCTTCCAACTGAGCTATTCAGACCCTTCGACTCTATACCTTTCTTTGCTTGTATATAATCTAAGTGACGCCTATTCGCCGGCGTGTGTATAATATTATTATATATTATTTAATTATATTAATTCCAATAATAATTGTTATATTTTAGTATTCCACATGTTGTAACAGAGGAAGAGAGTATCGGTCAGAGAACACGCTCTAAATTATCTTTAAGTGAAACTTCTTTGGAGGAAATAGAACAAGCATTTATACCACCTGACATAACTGTTGACATGATGACTGATGATTGGGATTGTGAGCTAGATGAAGATTGGGATAACTTTTTGAAAGAATTTACACAACCTTTAACACAAGAACTGGCTGTAGAAGATGATCCAGAAGCAGATCCAGAGTATAATATTTTGGAGGATGAAGAAACAGATTTATGTATGTATTTTGCTACTGAACATAATTTTATTCTTACTTTTTTCTTGACACACAAGATCCATTTCTTTAATTTTTAAAATTTTAATTTTAATTTACTTTTAATAATAAAAAAATATTAATAGTGGACAAAAGTATTCTTACTTTTTTCTTGACACACGAGATTCATTTCTTTAATTTTCTTAATTTTAATAATTTAAATTTTAATTTACTTTTAATAATAAAAAAATATTAATAGTGGACAAGGAAGAACTCAGGACGGATAAAGCAGTAGAAGTTCCTCGTAAAGAGCAATACGATTTAATTGCGGAATTACTCGAATTAACTCCTATGTTCTCGACGCAAGAAGAAGAAGAAAAATCAAGGAAAAAAAGGATTCCAGATAATACAACTCCACCGATTGAAACTAATACTATGGTAACAAGAAATTATTTATGTTATAAAGGGTGTCTCATAGGAAATTGCTGAAACTAATCAGCTTTCATTTTTTAATGCATACAGTTATTGAGAAAACCAAAATTGTGTTGGAAAGAGTAAAGTCTTTTTAATAGATATAAATAAAATGTTTGTATACCAGTTTATTTTATTGATATAAAGAGTAATGAAAAAAGTGCTAATAATTATATGATATTAATAAAAAATATATCAATGAAATAAATTGGTATATAAATATAAATTTAACATATATAAGATAGGCAATAAGAGCCAAATCGCGGATGACAGTGCGTTATTCTAAACGAAACTAAATTTTTTCGTTAGAATTAAATACCTGTGCACAAGGCACCAAATTTTTACTTGGACACGGCCAAGATATAAAATTGGAATAATCTCTACAAGAGATTTTTAATTCCATGTATCCCCTATTCCCCCTAAAGAAATAAAGTGCGAGAGAAAAATATAGATCCGAAAGTCGCAGAATCGGGAATCGAACCCGAGACCTTTCGCTTGCCGGGCGACTGCTCTTCCAACTGAGCTATTCAGATCCTTTCGATTCTATACTTTTCTCTGTTATATATATTAATGTTGGTAAATAAACGCCTTTAAGCCAGCGTGTATAAATTAAGAGTTTAACTAGGCTCTGTAATATATAAATATAAATTTAACATATATAAGATAGGCAATAAGAGCCAAATCGCGGATGACAGTGCGTTATTCTAAACGAAACTAAATTTTTTCGTTAGAATTAAATACCTGTGCACAAGGCACCAAATTTTTACTTGGACACGGCCAAGATATAAAATTGGAATAATCTCTACAAGAGATTTTTAATTCCATGTATCCCCTATTCCCCCTAAAGAAATAAAGTGCGAGAGAAAAATATAGATCCGAAAGTCGCAGAATCGGGAATCGAACCCGAGACCTTTCGCTTGCCGGGCGACTGCTCTTCCAACTGAGCTATTCAGATCCTTTCGATTCTATACTTTTCTCTGTTATATATATTAATGTTGGTAAATAAACGCCTTTAAGCCAGCGTGTATAAATTAAGAGTTTAACTAGGCTCTGTAATATATAAATATAAATTTAACATATATAAGATAGGCAATAAGAGCCAAATCGCGGATGACAGTGCGTTATTCTAAACGAAACTAAATTTTTTCGTTAGAATTAAATACCTGTGCACAAGGCACCAAATTTTTACTTGGACACGGCCAAGATATAAAATTGGAATAATCTCTACAAGAGATTTTTAATTCCATGTATCCCCTATTCCCCCTAAAGAAATAAAGTGCGAGAGAAAAATATAGATCCGAAAGTCGCAGAATCGGGAATCGAACCCGAGAACCCTATTTCTTTAGGGGGAATAGGGGATACATGGAATTAAAAATCTCTTGTAGAGATTATTCCAATTTTATATCTTGGCCGTGTCCAAGTAAAAATTTGGTGCCTTGTGCACAGGTATTTAATTCTAACGAAAAAATTTAGTTTCGTTTAGAATAACGCACTGTCATCCGCGATTTGGCTCTTATTGCCTATCTTATATATGTTAAATTTATATTTATATATTACAGAGCCTAGTTAAACTCTTAATTTATACACGCTGGCTTAAAGGCGTTTATTTACCAACATTAATATATATAACAGAGAAAAGTATAGAATCGAAAGGATCTGAATAGCTCAGTTGGAAGAGCAGTCGCCCGGCAAGCGAAAGGTCTCGGGTTCGATTCCCGATTCTGCGACTTTCGGATCTATATTTTTCTCTCGCACTTTATTTCTTTAGGGGGAATAGGGGATACATGGAATTAAAAATCTCTTGTAGAGATTATTCCAATTTTATATCTTGGCCGTGTCCAAGTAAAAATTTGGTGCCTTGTGCACAGGTATTTAATTCTAACGAAAAAATTTAGTTTCGTTTAGAATAACGCACTGTCATCCGCGATTTGGCTCTTATTGCCTATCTTATATATGTTAAATTTATATTTATATATTACAGAGCCTAGTTAAACTCTTAATTTATACACGCTGGCTTAAAGGCGTTTATTTACCAACATTAATATATATAACAGAGAAAAGTATAGAATCGAAAGGATCTGAATAGCTCAGTTGGAAGAGCAGTCGCCCGGCAAGCGAAAGGTCTCGGGTTCGATTCCCGATTCTGCGACTTTCGGATCTATATTTTTCTCTCGCACTTTATTTCTTTAGGGGGAATAGGGGATACATGGAATTAAAAATCTCTTGTAGAGATTATTCCAATTTTATATCTTGGCCGTGTCCAAGTAAAAATTTGGTGCCTTGTGCACAGGTATTTAATTCTAACGAAAAAATTTAGTTTCGTTTAGAATAACGCACTGTCATCCGCGATTTGGCTCTTATTGCCTATCTTATATATGTTAAATTTATATTTATATATTACAGAGCCTAGTTAAACTCTTAATTTATACACGCTGGCTTAAAGGCGTTTATTTACCAACATTAATATATATAACAGAGAAAAGTATAGAATCGAAAGGATCTGAATAGCTCAGTTGGAAGAGCAGTCGCCCGGCAAGCGAAAGGTCTCGGGTTCGATTCCCGATTCTGCGACTTTCGGATCTATATTTTTCTCTCGCACTTTATTTCTTTAGGGGGAATAGGGGATACATGGAATTAAAAATCTCTTGTAGAGATTATTCCAATTTTATATCTTGGCCGTGTCCAAGTAAAAATTTGGTGCCTTGTGCACAGGTATTTAATTCTAACGAAAAAATTTAGTTTCGTTTAGAATAACGCACTGTCATCCGCGATTTGGCTCTTATTGCCTATCTTATATATGTTAAATTTATATTTATATATTACAGAGCCTAGTTAAACTCTTAATTTATACACGCTGGCTTAAAGGCGTTTATTTACCAACATTAATATATATAACAGAGAAAAGTATAGAATCGAAAGGATCTGAATAGCTCAGTTGGAAGAGCAGTCGCCCGGCAAGCGAAAGGTCTCGGGTTCGATTCCCGATTCTGCGACTTTCGGATCTATATTTTTCTCTCGCACTTTATTTCTTTAGGGGGAATAGGGGATACATGGAATTAAAAATCTCTTGTAGAGATTATTCCAATTTTATATCTTGGCCGTGTCCAAGTAAAAATTTGGTGCCTTGTGCACAGGTATTTAATTCTAACGAAAAAATTTAGTTTCGTTTAGAATAACGCACTGTCATCCGCGATTTGGCTCTTATTGCCTATCTTATATATGTTAAATTTATATTTATATATTACAGAGCCTAGTTAAACTCTTAATTGGTATATAAACATTTTATTTATATTCATTAAAAATTATAGCACTTTTTTATTACTTTTTATCAATAAAATAAACTGATATACAAACATTTTATTTATATCCATTAAAAATTGCAGACTTTCCTCTCTTCAACACAATTTTGTTGTCTCAATAATTGCATTAAAGAATGCATTAAAAAATGACAGCTGATTAGTTTCAGCAATTTCTTATGGGACACCTTGTATGAAAAGGCAGCGATATATAGTCACATTCTCACATTTTCATGCTTTTAGAACTCCTCTATGGTAGACCTTTTACCGGTACTTGCAGAACCTGAATTACCAAAATTAGTAAATTTCGAGCAACGTCTTTTATTAGCCATACAATTTCGGCAACATGTACAATTAATGGCACAGCATTTTGTTATGACTTATATGCATTCGGAATATCATTCGCTAGCAATAACATGTAAACAGAACTTGAATAGTTTAAGGTATAATGAGAAATTACAAAAAATACTGTATAAAGGATAATATAAATCGCATTAAAAAAAAATCAAAATTCTTATAAATGTTCTTGATATTTTTTAGATATTTAAGCAACGGACCGAATTCTGCATTTAATGCAGAAAACTTAGAAGAAGCTTTGAAATTAATATCAACTTGGGAGAATAAATTTTCCGACACACGATTCTATGCAAATTTTAAACGGAACATAATAGATAACGTTGCTAAAATTAAAACATGTACGAATGAGCGAATACATACCGCAGAATTTCTTCCTGAATTAGAACAATTATTCGTCGAAAGTAAGGCTCTTATGTATCCGCAACTTTTGCCACAGATACCTTTCAGAAGTGGAGTTAAACTTAGAAAATCTACATATTTAAAAGCAGAAGAAAAGTGAGTATTTCTTCAAACTTGTGTTTTATATATAAAGTTCTAACATATAATTTTATAATATAATATATATATATATATATATATATATATATATATAAATTAGTACATTATATATTATATTGTTATGTTATATTTTATATTATGATATATATTAAATATAATAAAATTTTAATATATAATATATTATTATATATATATATATATATATATATATATATATATATATTATATATTATAATATAAAATATAACATAACAATATAATATATAATGTACTATTTATTAATATATTATATTAATATAATATGTTATAATAATTTATTAATATATAATATATTGTAATAATTTTCAGTTTAATTGCACTGGGTATAGAACAATTTTTACCATTTGTTGCATCCAAATCAAGGAAGCTTCGCACAAAGAAAATGCTGTTGAACGATGCCGTTCAACTTATTAGTCACTATCTGTTACCATGTAGAGATCCGCAAAGAATATTACATCATATTAAAAAACGTCGCGTTTCTAAAGATGAAAATCCTGTTAAACATTATTTTGAAAAAGGCTATGCTCCTAGAATAATACATCGCATAACGCTTGATAACAAGCCCAAAGCTCCAAACGATCAACCGATCAATCTTTTACCTTCAAGATGGCAAATATATCTCAATACTGTAAGTATATAGCAATTATAATTTTGTTTACGTTTAATCAAATAGTAATATTTCATATTCAAAATTTTATTTATGTATTGTATTATACACACACATATATATATATATATATATATATACAGGGTGTTTGGTAACAGGTGGGTCAAAATGTAAGGAGTGATTCTACATGATAAAATAAGACAAAAATCAAGAATGACAAAATTGCGTTCGAGACTTTGTTTATTAATTATAAATATTTTACATTTTGCAAAATATATATCAACTGTTACGATGTAAGTTTTTGTATACTTATGCGTCACAGTGTATTTTGACGGCGACTCTACCGATGTACCTTACGCACGCAAAATATCGGAAAATTGCCGTGCGTCAGGCGCTCTTAATGCGAAGTTTAAAATATTTATAATTAATAAACAAAGTCTCGGACGCAATTTTGTCATTCTTGATTTTCGTCTTATTTTATCATGTAGAACCACTCCTTACATTTTGGCTCACCTGTTGCCGAACACCCTGTATATATATATATATATATATATATATATATATATATATATATATATAATTGTAACAGCTTAATTTATTATTTTTTAAATTATTTATTAGAAACATTTATTATTTACAGCAAAGAGAGCGCAAAAACAATTTGTTCAACAATAATTATATATTTGACTCAAATGGTAATTTTGGAAAACCATGGGTTAACATGAATGCAATACTGAAATCGTATCCTATTGTCTCTAGTGATCATCCATTAAGAAACCCAGTCATAAATATATTACCGAAAATATTACCTACGACTGTGAATTCAAAAACTTCAACTGCTGACAAGACGGATAGTTCCACTATTAAAAGAAATTCTAAACTCAGTAATGAGAACGATGAAAAAGGAGCAATTGATAATAGTTTACAAACTGCGGAGGTGCTTACAAGAGCAAGTAAAGCCAATAAAAATTTATATTCCATAAAAATAGCTACTGTAGATGCAAAGGTGGCACAGATGGACAAATTACCAGATGAACAGAAAAATAACAATCCTACATTAAGTAGCACATCAACTAGAAGTTCAAAGGTATCCAAGGATATGTCGCAGATATCATCGGGACCACAAATACGCAAAACTACACCTCGATTAGCGAAAACGAGAAGCGCACAGAATATGAAGTTGATGGCTCAAGTTTTAGGTTCCAAGAGTTCAGCTAATTGTACATTAAAATCTAAAGAGAAAGATACCGCAGATAAGAATACCGACGAAAATTTCATCGCATCAAAAGTCGTGAGTTCTATTTTATGTTACATTAAAGAAAATATTGAGTTATCTATATGTCTGTGTAAATTATGTACATTTTTTGCATTCAGGACAATGAAGACGAGATAGCAGAATTAATGTTAGCTAGTACTACAATAATAAAGGATCCTGTAAGTAGAAAGAAGGCTAAACAAACTAGGGAGCTGGAAATTATTAAAAGATTATTGAAAGCTGAGAATCCATTGACTGAAGAAGAGCGTGAAGCAAGTAAGTCAGTTATATATAAATTAATTAATAATTAATAAATTTAATAAACAATAATATATAATAATTTTTAATATATATAACATATTATAAATATATTATAAATATGTAATAATTTTTTATAATATGTATGTATACAATTTTCATATTTTTTAAATTTATATTCAATTTTTTGTAGAATTTGCGGCATCGTATCTTCAAAAACTACACTTGACATTAGAACCTAATAATCCAGAGATATTTAGGGCTGTGATAAAATTGTACTTAGACTATAGCGAAAAACTAGAAAGTATCAACCAGACGGTCATCGACCCGCCATTTCCTGAAGAATTTGCAGCGAACGAAGAGATACAAGATAGCACGATCAAAAAGGATATACTCACAATCAGATTATATCAGGATGTCTGCAAAATATTGCAAAATTATCCAGAAATGTGTACAGACTTTCTATTATTCTTGAAGCCGCATCAAGCCGCGATGATCGGTAAATCTATGGAATATATGATGCTGCAAAAGATGAACGATTTTGTTCATATCGCGCAAATATACTTTGCCAAGCAGCCATCGCGGATAGCGAAAATGATGCAGGCGATTACGCAACTTTCGTCCGATCCACACACAACTCTGGAAACTATTCACACTGTTATGAGTCCGGTCTTCAAGGGTCATCCGCTCATTATGGATTTGTTTTTGCAAGTTCTGCCTACCGCGAAACCTCCTGAAAGGTAACTGAAGGATTGTAACTAGTGTTTGCTGTTATCTAAATAAAATTATATAGATGATCATCTAGATGGAATTTTGCCGTCATTTTTATATATATATTTTTATATTATTTTATATTATTTTTATATTATTTTTACATTTTTATAGTATTTTTATATACATAATGAAAATATGTATTATCTATATTTGTATCTTAGATGAAAAAAAGTATTATCTTTACTAAAGATATACTAATAAAGATACTAAAGATAATACTAAAGATATTATAACAATATAGAAAGATATAATTCGCTGTGAGAGCCTATCGTGGATGTACCTGCACGTAATTTGCTTAACCATTTGCTAAGACAAGTTGAGGAACAATCTCGAATTTGAGATCTGAATTTCTTGGTTTCCTTTATCCCCTAGAGTGATGTAGACTAAAGATATCATCTTTACTAAATTATTTACAATAATTTTCAGATAATTTTGGTTTAGCATCATAGCGCATAAAAATATTTAAATAGTAAAACTTAAGCAATAAGCGATAAAAATTTATAAATAAAAATATGAATACATATGTTTTTATATGCCTTTTATAATTTACATTTTTTTATAACTTAAAATTAGTCTTAAAAATTATTATCTAGAAAATTATCTAGATGAATTGCTATATAATTTTATATCTTTTATCTGGATATATTTAAAACAAAATCATCTTCATCTTATTTAATATGAATTTACATATTTTTAACTCATTTTTATCTAGCTAATTTTAAAATCATCTAAGCACAACACTGTATATAAATAATCTCAACAAGAATTATACAATATTAATTGTATATCAATTTTTTGATATTTTTTCAGCTTATTTGTACCTCATATGTTTGAAAACTTGACGTGTCCGTTGGGACCCTACGATAAGAACACAACTTACATCGAGAATGCACCAGAGTTATATGAAAATATTGAATTACCCACAGCGACGTGTCAAGAGGATCCATATGGTGGAGAAAATTGTAAATGCGATTGTCATAACATAGACGACTCGAGTCTTAAAAGCAATTCGGAGCATTGTGTTTCCTGCGGTACACGGGTATTTTTTAATTTTTTATATCTGTTTTTTCTTTTTATAAATAGATTCAATATAAGGAGATTGCTAGGCCAACTTACGAGACAAACAAATAAAGTTTTTAATTTATTACATTAATTAAATTAATATATAAAAATAATTAATGTAATAAATTAAAAACTTTATTTGTTTGTCTTGTAAGTTGGTCTAATAATTTCCTTATATTGTTAAAAGCTAGAAAGAGATTCATTTTAATTCAAAATTTTTTTGTGTTTTTTTATAGTTTCTCAATGGAAGAATTTATCTTCAAACTCCTGAAGGTTTGCGACCTGCAAAAATTACATTTCCCGGAGAACACCAGGAGAAATTGGAAAATATTGCGCGAGTATCGTTAAAAATTGCTGATAAAGTCGCTCCGTCATCAATCTCGTCGAAGAAACGGCGAAAGTCATCGAAGAATGAGTCCAGTCACGAAGAAGTTTGCCAGAAGAAATATTCGCCATTAAAGGATAATGAAGATAACGAGAAAGCAGCAGCAAAGTCTAAAAAGAGTGTCAAGCTTGCACTTAAAGCAGATCAGAAGAAGACTTTGAAGAGAATAGGCAATGTAGATGACGCGACTGCGAATAAAAAGATAAGGATGACTCACTGCAGGAGTAAACGAGAGAAGAAGACTGAAGAAATGGATGTCTTATTGGAACATAGTGAACTTGATATTGCGGAGCATGAGAAAACGAATGATAATATTAGAGAAACAGAAGGAAACAGCTGTATGCAGTTGTCAGTGCAGGATAATTCATCGAGTGTTGAACTTGTACAATCCGCTACAAGCAACAGTACCGATTGTGATTTAAGTAAGTTATATGTATATGCAGGGTGTTTCATGGGAAATTGCTGAAACTAATCAGTTGTCATTTTTTAATGCATACAGTTATTGTGAAAAAAAAAATTTTAATGGATATAAATAAAATGTTTATATATCAGTTTATTTTATTGATAAAAAGTAATGAAAAAAGTGCTATAATGTTTAATAGATAAATAAAATGTTTATATACCAGCTTATTTTAGTGATAAAAAGTAATGAAAAAAGTGTTAATAATAACATAAAATCACATAAACTAATAATTAATATTTTCAATAGTGCCAGATTTAATAGCAGCTATTAAAAGGATTGTCAAACATAATTAAAAATGACATGTTAGAATAAGTTTTTACAAGTTTTTGTAAAAGAACAGAATTTTGTACAAATTCAAATGGTGTGCACTTTGAAAATATTTATCATTAGTTTACATATGTGATTATTAGCATTTTTTTCATTACTTTTTTTCAATAAAATAAACTGGTATACAAACATTTTATTTATAGCCATTAAAAACTGCAGACTTCTCTTTTCAACACAATTTTTGTTTTCTCACTAACTGCATACATTAAAAAATGACAGCTGATTAGTAAAATGTTATTATCAATAGAAGAAGTAAAGAGTATTTGAAAAATATCAATTTTTTTCATTTTTAGATTGTAAAAATACGAGTACAGAAACAGCAGTCGGTGTAAAAACGACAATCGACAATAATATTCAGTCTGATTTAACGAGCAATAAACCGTGGACACGTCAGGAAGACATGATTCTGCTACAAAGCGTTAAAAAAGAATATTCTGAAAATTCATTTCTATTAGTTAGTGCAAAATTAAATAATCGTACTGTTGATGAGGTAATCTTTTTATCTCTAAAATTCTACATTCTTATATTATACATTTTACAATTTATTCATGACTAAATGACTAATTTCTGTTGTAGGTGAAGGAGAGATGCCAAACTTTACTTTCTTTATTACAGAAAATAATGTAAATATATATATATATATATATATATATATATATATATATATATATATATATATATATTACAGAAAATAATGTAATATAAATATAAATTATATATATATATATATATATATATATATATATAATATAATAAAAAAATATATATAAAAAATATATAAAAAAATACAGGGTGTCCCAGAATTGATAGTAAAAAAATAGGCATATTCTACAAGTCAAAATAAGGTAAAATTGTCCTATAAACATATGTCCGGAAACGCACCCCCTCTGAGCTACAGCCCCCCAAAGTTTCCCCCAAAAACTTGAATTTTCCGTATATTGTCTAAACTTGGACTTAGAATTTTATGAAAATTGGTACATACACATTTCTTTATGCGTTTTATTCATTTTTATTATCAAAAATTTTCTAACAAAATTTCGAAGGGGGTTTTAGGGGGGGAAGGTTACTTTTCAATATGACAAAACTTATGTGTGGATGCAATAAATTTGAAATACATTACAGTTTATGACGGAAAATACAAAAATAAGCATTTTTTGACTCTTTGATTTTTTTCATACAACAAACCGTTTTTGAGATAATCGACTACATAGTTCGCGCAAAACTTGCTCGTAGATTGAGCCGTAGGGTACAGATAAAGGTGTCTTTATTGTTAAGTCGATTATCTCAAAAACGGTTTGTTGTATGAAAAAAATCAAAGAGTCAAAAAATGCTTATTTTTGTATTTTCCGTCATAAACTGTAATGTATTTCAAATTTATTGCATTCACACATAAGTTTTGTCATATTGAAAAGTAATCTTTCCCCCCTAAAACCCCCTTCGAAATTTTGTTAGAAAATTTTTGATAATAAAAATGAATAAAACGCATAAAGAAATGTGTATGTACCAATTTTCATAAAATTCTATGTCCAAGTTTAGACAATATACGGAAAATTCAAGTTTTTTGGGGAAACTTTGGGAGGTTGTAGCTCAGAGGGGGTGCGTTTCCGGACATATGTTTATAGGACAATTTTACCTTATTTTGACTTGTAGAATATGCCTATTTTTTTTACTATCAATTCTGGGACACCCTGTATATATATATGTATTTTGAAGCTATATAATATGTATTTTAGAACATAATAATGGCACATGAGAGTAATATAGTAAAATTATTTATTTATTAATTAGTAGTTATTATTTCTAAATTTCTTTTCTACTAATAAAGAATTCGTTCTACATTAGAATATAAAATAAAAAAAATGATCGATTCCGAAATTTAATTTTGCTTAAAAATTGCAGTATTCAAATGTGAATTTTTTTGCAAGAATTATAAAGAATTTTAAATAATTCACGTTAATATAACGTAATTTTTATTTTATATTTCTCATATCTTTTTTATAAAGAGTTTAGAATTTTTAATAAAAGCTTTTCATGCATGAATACGATTGGTCGTCAAATAGAGGAATTTTTGGATTTCAAAAATTTCCGCCTATTCAATTAGCCAATCGCATCGCGTTGTGTCTATTTAATTCTGCGTCACGTGATTAGATCCTAGTTCATTCATGAGTTCGTATTCTATTCCGAATCATGAAACAATCGGCGATTTTATTAATATCAAATATTAATCACTCGCGAGTGTTGAATTCGTGAAAAGTATAAGTTTCATAAATAGCGATTATAGCGAGAAAAAGCATTTATCATTTCCGATTTTATAATTTGTGACTCGACCTAACCTTACATAACCTAAAAAAAAAATTGTGGAGAAGAATCTGGAACGTATTCTTCGAACGAAATAATAAATAACGCACGATGTCTTTGCGTTTGTGTAAGATTTTCTCTTATGTCAATATTTTTTCTTAAATTTACCGATCATAAAATCATTTACTCTATCAGTGACGTTTCGTTGCACACATATACAGAATGTCTCATTTTTATCTTAAATTAATATTAATTAATATCAATTTATTAATATTATAATTTATTATTTTTAATCTTAAATTAATATTAATTTATTAATATTACAATGTATTATTTTTATCATATAATATATAATTTATTAATTAATATATTCAACCTTTAGAGGACGGGCGTATTTTTTCGTAAACTTTTGTAATTTGAAGTAAGAATTTTTATATCTTTATTATAGTGTTGTACTATGAAAAATAAGCGACCCTTATAGAGCCAATATATTAGTTTCCCGTTCGGTACGGTAATAAAAATAGAAAAATTTCACAGAACCATTATAAGATTATAATTATCGAAGAGTTCATCTTTTATCTTAAATCGAATGAGAAAAATAGCCATTTAAAAAAATTACGTTATGAAAATATATTTCGAGAATTTCATAGGGTTAAAATAATAATCAATACATAAAAAGGAATGTTTTTATTTGTAATACATATATTTTTTTAAGTTGACCAACAATATTACAGAATTACACAAAATAATGCAGTTGAAAAACAAAATATGATAGATATTTGTTTTAACAAAATTTTTTTCACTAAAATATATATGAGTATATCTATCATCAACTGATGTAATCCGTAAAAACTTGAGTTTTTAAATAAAATTTCAATTCAAATTACTAAAAACACCCTTATATAAAATATTTAAAGTGAAAATAGTTCAAAACCAAAATATTAGCTTCCCGTCCTCTAAAGGTTAATATAATCTTAAAATTTTTATATTAACCTTTAAATGACCTTCAAATTTGACCCCAAAGTTAAGATCAATATCACCATTAGATGACCCTGTTTAAATCCTATAACTTTTGTTTGAAATATTTTTTTCTATGACTGTTACGAGGATAGATTAAAATGGGACACCCTGTACATAGTGCACCCTTATTACTATTTCTGTTATAATAATTTCTTACAAGTATTTGTACGATTTCAGATTCATTCGTGAGAAGAATACGAAAAACGCATGGCAGAAAATTCAGCACAGCTGCAGAAGTAAAGGATGAGCCAGTGAGTCAAATAAATTCTTTTCGCACAGCTGAAAGCAATCCGGTTAATCACAATACGGACCACATTGCCAGATTATATACAGTACCGACAGATATTCAACAGCAACTCTTTCAGTATGGTGGATTAAATAAGACATTTATGAAACAGGTTACTACTTTTCGAGAGTGCTCGATACTAGTCAGGCAACCTGCAGTTGAGATTATGTCTTATCTCAATCAGACTGACTATACAAGGCCTGTCAACAAATATGTGTTGTGTATCCTTTGAAAAACAGAGATATAAACAGATAGATAGAAATAAAGAATGGCATTATAATTTTTTACATTGTTAAAATTACGAAATAGCTTTATATTTTTATAATTTTTGTGAGTTTTATAGATTTTATATATAAGAGTGTTCCATTTTTAGAAAACGATATTTTGAACAACTTTAATTAATATCTTGTAAACTTAATTTTCACAACTTTTTATATTGAATATTGCGAAGAATTGATTTTATAAAAAATTAAAGTACCATTTAAAGAAATTAAGTTGATTCTCAAATAACCTTAGAAATTCAAAAAATTATCAACTTTTTATCCCTTAGAAACTTTGTATAAAATATTTTAATAATTTCTTCATCAGCTACAACTATAGCGTTAAAGATATTCAATTTTATTAATTAACATAGGACATTCTGTATATGTTACAAATAATAAATATTTTATACATAAAAAAAAAAACCTTAACAGATTATTAAACAGATGGGAAGTTTGGAGTAGGAAAATCTATCGCGTTAAGTCACATATTACACTATGCCTTCATGCAGAAATATGTGCTTGTTCACATATACTGGGGTATGTTAAGTAAATGACACATTATTGTTCATGGATGCATTACAATTATAAATTTATTATTTGTTTTTCAGCTATGCATTGGTTTAGGGATATGAAGGAAGTCGCGACCTCAGTATTATCCCCAGGCTGCATAGATTTGCCCATCGATGCTGGATCATGGTTGAAACACTTCAAATCTCAAAATTCAAAGTTGCTCCCACAATTGGACGTAAGTCTATTCCGTCATGTTTTGATACTGGTAGATTTAAACTCGAGTTTACTCTATTCTATGATGTTACTTTGTCGAAGTACTTGCATTGTATTCAGTGTTGTGTTTAGATGATTTTAAAATTAGATAAAGATAAGAAAATATGTAAATTTATTTAGATGAGATGAAGATGATTTTGTGTTAAATTTATCTAGATAAAAGATAAAATTATATGGCAAAACCATCTAGATAACTTCCAGATATCATTTTAAGACCACTTATGTAAACAGTTTTAAAAAATGTAAATTATAAAATTTTATGGTGCAATAATTGTTAGTGTTTAATGAAAAATTTTAAACTTAGCTAGATAAAGATGAGATAAAAATATGAAATTAATCTTAGATGAGTTGAAGATAATTTTGTTTTAAATATATCTAGATAAAAGATATAAAATTATATTTATCTAGGTAATTTTTAGATAATATTATTTTTAAGATTGCTTATACATATAAGCACAGTTATAAAAAAATGCGAACTATAAAAATGTTGTTATAGATAATATACATATTTTTATTATTATCTATATAAAGATAACATAATGCCAAAGTTTCATCTAGATGATCATCTACATAATTTTATTTAGACAACAGCAAACACTGATTGCATATTCGTTTTTACAGCTGAGAATATCGAAGGATTATGAGTGGAATCAGCGCGAAACGACCTCGCAAGGTACACCTATCTTGGAACTCGTCGAGTTCGGCATAAGCCGCGTCAAGTATGCTTGCGGTGTGGTGGATGCGCTTATAAGAGAGCTGAAGCTCGCCAGCACGGCCGGCAGGTGCAAGACTTTGGTCATGATAGACGGATTCAATGCATTTACGTCGAGTTACACGCGGATCCGTGACGATAACAAAGCGATGGTTCTGCCCAAGCAAGTGTCCTTGGCAATACCGTTTTTAGATATCACGAAAAGCGATTGGTGCAACGGTGCTGTTGTACTATCAGTAGACCAAACAGCGAATAAGGTATAATTCTCTTTATCTTCTTTGATAAATTGAAATTAGATATGCAAGAAACTCAGGGTTGGGTAAAAGTTCATAACTTTTAACTTAGCTTAATTAATTTAAAATGTTAATTTTAATTTTAACTAATTATTTTTGATCTTAAACTTATTCACTTTTTCCTAAGTTAAATTTTTAATTTCTGAATACCATTGTTGTTTTTTATAAGTTAAAAACGTATTATTTTGAAAAGTATTATTAATTTTTATGTTCATTTGTCATCAATTGTATACTAAAAAAAATGTTTTTATATAAAAATCAAAATTTCTTTGTTATTTGTTATTATAAATTTTAAAAGAATTAACGAACAAAATTCTAATTTAATATAAATAATGTTTATAAAAATTAATTTTTGATTTAACTTCAGTTAATTTAATCTTAACTTTACTTTAACTGAATTAATTTTTGGTTCATACTTTTAACTTAACTAAATTAATTTTATAAGCAACTAACTTTAATTTAATTAAAAATAAATTATTAACTTACCCAACCCTGAAAAATCTCGCATTAATCTTATACAGTGTTGTACTTAGATAATTTTAAAATTAGCTAGATAAAGTTGAGATAAAAATATGTAAGTTTATTTGTTAGATAAGATGATTTTGTTTTAAATATATCTAGATAAAAGACAAAAGTATATTCATCTAGATAAATTCCAGATAATATTATTTTTAAGATCGCTTATGTAAACAGTTATTAAAAGATTAAATTATAAAGGGAATATAAAAATATAATTATATTTTTAATTTTTATCGCTTAAATTCTACTTAAAATGTTTATGTGCTATGATTATAAATTAAATTATCTAAACATTCTAGATAATTATACCTGAATATTCTAGATATTTTTTTATCTGAATGTTCTGGATAATTTAGTTAAGATAACATTTTTTCATCTAAAATAATGTCAAAATTTCATCTATATAATTTCAGATGATCACCTATATAATTTTATTTAAATAACAGCAAACACTGAATTCTATATGAAATTCGATCCTGATAAAATCTGCTGATTTTCTCATATGTTGTAGCTTTTGATCTGTTAAAAGATGTAATAGGCTCAAAGCTAAAATAATGAATAGTTACTAACAGCTAGTTAAACATGAAAAATTCGAGTATTGTTTGATCAGTTGATTTTACCAAGATTTAATTTCATATAGACTTAGTGTGGGGTTCTTTAATAGAAGATATGAAAGTTTCATATTTAAATATAAAAATTCAGATTTAGAAAATTATATTTAAATAATGATGAAGATTAAAACTTATTTTCAGGAGAGACAAGAATCCTATCTTCCTAGATATTTGCTTGGCAAAGAAGGCTTCGAGCACTTGGATCCTTTCATACCTATTTTGGTTGATGACTACAACGTCGCAGAATTCGACAGTATGATAGAGTATTATAAAGATCGCAAATGGATCAGGAACATAACAGTCAGTGATCAGAAGGAATTAGAACTTATCACTAATAGAAATCCATCCGCCTTAATGGAACAGTGTAAATTTTTATAAAGACAATTGCTCGAACATGGATGTAATTATAATAATAAAGCTTTTAAAGTTCTCAGCATTCCTTTTGTTTTATTAAAATTATAAAACTATTTCCAATTTTATTTGATCTTAAGTTAGAGGCAGGTGAAAGATTTTTAAATAGAAAGATTTATTTGTTATAATTACTTTATTAACTCTTCATTAACATAACATGTAATTAATAATTATACAATCACCACACAAATATTTATTTTTAGACATTTTAAAAATATATTTATATTATTTAGCTTTTAAAATAAAATTATCAGTGAATGCAAATGCATTATAAATTGAGCACTGTAAATAACAAAATATTAAAATTGACAAAATAAAATTATGACAATTATCAATTTTAAGCAAAAGATAAAATATAAAGTATTATTAATATATATATATATATATATAATATTAGTAACAAATTATCATCAGCTATTGATTATGTTAATAGTTTACCATTGCCATTTATGTTATTGTATGTAAACTATCGTCAACTAAAATTTTAACTGTTTCTCTTTTAATGTGGGCGTACCGGATGTAATACGTCTAGGGCTTTGCCAATGTCACCGTCTTTTGAAACAAGCAGATGAGTCAACCATCCACCCTCATTGCTGAATCCCATCGCCATCATTGCTGTTACTGCTCGTTGGATCTTCGGATTTGGATGATAGAACTCTTCCCTTACTTCCTGAGGTAAGGATGGGTAGATGTTTTGTTTTGGTGATTCTGCTTTCTCTGGTTCTGTTTCCATAGCGGTTGCGGCTGGAGCGGATGGTGCAACCTGCATAATAAGTTATTCTGAACACGTGATAGTACATACAATATAATAATGTAATAACACTTTTTCACTATTTTTTTCTTACACATATATGTAATTATATATTCGCTATATTTTCGATATCTTTCGAATTTGAAAAGATACACTTAACGAGACGCTACCGCGTCTGCTGATATATTTAATTTTATTTAAAAATAATTGTGTTTTAATTTTCTATTATATTTGAATAATTCAAGGATATGTTGCTATTATAATGAATTATTTATTTTCTTACATATGTAATTATATATGTAATTACATATGACATTTGGTATTCAGACTTCGCAACACACACTTGAAATATCGGGGAAAAGGACTTGTTAAAACGATAATCATGCTCAAATGTCGCATAACTTGGCATCTCAGACCAATCGCCTTGCATATCTATTGGTCAACAGCGAAGAATCGTTTCAATTTTATATTTTAATATTTAACTAACTTTGTATTTTTAACATCTAACTTTATATTTTAATATTTAATTTTTATGTATTGATAAAGACTGTAGTGCAGTCGAAACGTTTACAATTTATATCGATTCTGTAACGGAATGTTAATTTAATGATTTAACTATTAATAAAAAATTTTTACATCTTATTTATTTGCTCGTTTAGTTGGCCTACTATATATGATTGTTTAATTTTATATATATATATATATATATTTAATTTTATTTAAAAATATAATTGTATTTTAATTTTCTATTATATTTGAATAATTTAAAGATGTGTTGCTATTATAATGCATTTTTTTGCATATGTGAAACGTACCTGTTTAGGTACAGCCTCGTTCAAGGATGAGATGGAAGATGTGCGGCTGGTGGTAGAGCTCTCATCTTGCGGCTGCACTATCGTCCACTCTTCAGCTTCTGCCGCTTGTTCGGCAGATGCGCCGGTTGTTGGCTCCTTCTGTGGCGAAGACGCCTTGCTGGTCGAAGGAATAGTTTTCTCATCCGTAGTAATTCCAGTTTCATCGTTCAACTTCTTCCCTTCGCCGGGAAACTTCTTGGTAGGCTCTTCCGACGTAGACGCCTGATTCTCGGTCTTTTGCGAGCTGCTGGGTTTATCCTTGGAATCCTTGTCGGTCATCACGGTGACGTTGATGCCGAGCGGGTCCAGGAACTGGGTGATATTGGAAAGATTGTCCTCGACTATCTTCATGATTTGGGACAATCTGTGCCTGGTCTGCTCGGCCGGGTCCTCCTCCGTCGCCTCGGTGGCAGCCTCGGCTGATGGATCCCTCTGCTGCTGTTCCTTGGATCGCTTCTGAGTCTCATCTGACGAATCAACACGCAGAGTGTCTAGAAAATCCATCAGCGGAGTTTTAAAGAATACGTCATAAGCGTCTTTTTTACCAGGTGGATGTTGGAACGCCGGACAGCCGCGTCGCTTGCTGCTCTTGTTGTACGATCTGCGCTCGTCGTTCTTGCTGTACTTCGCCCACTTGTGCAAGTGATGAGCCAGTCGACGTCCTTCGCGACTCAGCCAGTCGACTTGGTGCACCATCCGAACCATATAATGTTCGTGATGGTGGCCCAGCAACATGCAGTTGCAGCATAAATCGTAGTTCTCGCATTGCATGCACTTGAAGCGGAAGCCTCTTATCATTATATTGCACACGTCGCAGGTTACGCCATGGTGCAATAATGCTTCTTTGTTGTATAATGTGGATGCTGAGTCTCGAACGGGTTGTATTCTAACATACAGCTTACAGATGTTGTTCTTAGATGACATCTCCTCTATTGCGATCTCCAGCTCTTCGTTGGTTGATATCTTAATCATCTCGTTCTCTGCATCTAAATACAAAAAATGATTTAAGCAGATGTTTTAACACATGTAGTAGTTTTAATTCCTTATTTAGAATGCAAAAAAATTAGTTTCTTATATTAGTCATATTACTATAATAGTCATATTTCTTCATAATGTATGTTATGTTGCATAGAGCGAGCTAATTCATGCAAAAATTAATATATTGTGTGAAATTTGTTATACATAATATAATTACATTTTCTCTTACCACTATCAAATGTATATGAATCATAGACAGTAAAAAGGAGAAAAAAATATGGATTTATTATTTAAATTGATATATGTAAAAATGATTATAATAAATTGATGTAAAATTTATATATATTCAAACTGACGTTATTAAACAACAAAATGATGTCATTTGACTTCAAAATGATGTATGCTTGTCTAAGTATATATACAAAGTGTCCCACAATTAAACCGGCAATGCAGATATAGGTTTATTGACAAAAATGGCTTGTTTTGATGTTGCTTTATAACTACTTGAAGTTTGTCAGTCTAATTTTGAGACATTCTATATATAAAGAATAAAAAAATATATATATATATATATATATATTTTTTTTTTAAATTTAAAATAGAATTCTTTTATAATAGTTGCTTTTCATTTACATCAAAACTTAGATAAATCTCACTTGTGTCTTTCTTCACACATCCATATTAAAGAAAGATGGAAGTGAGATTTATCTGAGTTTTGATGTAAATGGAAAGCAATATATCAATTTTATTATCAACTTGTCATAATCATTTATATATATACTTATAGCTAAAACTTCTAGACTAATAAATATTTTAATGTTTTGTATTTATATAATAAAAGAACACTGTATACAGGGTGACCCAAAATTAGACTAACAATAAGACATTGTTTGACATTGTTTAAATAAGAAATTGTTGACTAATATATTGTAAGATTGAAGAGTATTCATTCAACGTTACACTCAGTATTCATTATTTAATCGAAATTCATGTTTGAAATAGACAAGTTTTCTTATAAAAAGATTTAGCCAATATACATCTGGATATAATCGGAAGAGAAGAAAATATGTCACTTAAAAAACACTGATGCCAAAATGGCTCATTTGCAGACATGAGTTTATCGACCAAATTTACTTGTTTTGATATCATCCTCTGTACTTAGTAACTACCTAAAGTTTGCCAGTGAACTTAGACAGCCACAGTAATTATTATTACATCACTTTGACGTCAAAATGACAATTTTTGCTATCTGCGTAATTTTGGGACATCCTATATAGTGTATATAAAGTACAGGAAGATAAATCGATGAATCACTCTCTTATCTTTCCTTTACGAGTTGATAAACACAATCATATCAACGGTTAGCGTACTCAATATTTATTTATAAATGTTTTTAATCAAAAGGGAAAGAATTACCTTTCCACTCGATCCAGAAGAGCTTCCTTCGCAGAGTCGGGAAGAGGCTTTGCAATTTTTCGCACACATATACGTAATTTGTCGCGACGTCGGCGTCGATGCCGAATCTGCGCGTTTCGAATTGGGTCTTATTTTCGAACGGGTAATCCTCGTAATTCTCGGACAGATACACCTTGAAGCTTATCGTGGCCATTTTGTCGTCTCTCTTCTTTAAATGTCAAATTTCCCACGAAGAATTACGTCGCAAATTAATTATTGCACTTGCTGCGGATCCCTCGTCGTAGACGCGTCCTTATCGGAGCTCGATCGTTGTTTGGCGAGAGGACGTCGACGCAGTCCGCTTTTATACGCGGTCGATAATGCGTTTATTGCTCATCATGTCGCGCGTCGCGATATCATAGTCACTTCCGGCGGCGCTATTCGCATATATCGCCTATTTTGCGATTTTTGCATCGCTTTTTCTCCTCGTTTTTCCAACCTTATTTCACGAAGAGGATGAAACGACGTCGAGAAGAATGCTTTTGTTCTGATACAAGACGATTCCGAGGCGGGAGAGCGATTTTCACTCGCGTGAAATTGAACGGAGGAAGTCCGCGAGCGCGGCGCCATTTTTGAATGAGTTTGCCTATTTTGACAGATGGCGGTCACGTGACGGCGCGTACGTGATGATTCACGGTGCAGTGATGGGATCGTTTTGAACGGTCGTGTTGCACGATGTTGTGTTGCATCATAAAGTTGCAATATACACGATTTCTAAAAGCTGGCCTGTAATTGAAGTATTGATGTATATCTATTATCAGTGCCGGTTTTAGCAACATTGGCGCCCTGGGCAAGATTATCGTGGCGCCCATTCAATTTTCGATATTTTTACTAGTCTAAACGGATATAAACGAATGCACGCATATAAAAATTCAAAAAACTTTCCTTTAGCTTTACCCAGAGCTAACGACGTGGACGTAGAAAGTTTTTGTAATTCCTTTTTTGCTTTTGTTTTTTTATATATTTATATTTTTTTTTTTTTTGTATTTTTTTGTATTTTATATACTTTTATTATTTCGGGTTTTTTAGAGGACAAAGCTTAAACTAGAGTTTTTGAGAGATTACGGAAGGCGCCCGCGTGATGAGGGAGTCGAGCGTCAAGCGTGGCGATGAGGATCCGCACAAAGCGGAGAACGCGATAGCCATGATAAATACAGATGTGAGACAAAAGAATCAAAAGATATACAAAAGTATAGAGAGCATGTCAGGGTATAACACAGTGAGGAGATATAGGTACTTTTGCATACTATGGGGCATTAGAGTTCCTCTAATAAGAGTCGCGACATCTTATTAGAGGGACTCTATGGGGCACCGGGCAGCAGCGCCCCTACAGACCCGGCGCCCCGGGCAGTCGCCCCACTGCGCCCTACCCTAAATCCGGTACTGTCTATTATCGTGAATTAATATTTGAGAAAAATCTTGTATGGAAATACATTTCCTGCGATTTAAATAAAAATATATGCATATATGTATTTGGGAAAAATAATTAGTATATAGTATATGAGCATTACATATAAATAATATACATAATATTAATATATAATATAATATATAATAATATATAAAATAAAAATATAAAATATAAGATAAAAGATATAAAATATATAATAATAAATCTATATAGATATATATATATATATATATATATATAGATATAAATATAAAATATTTATGATATATATATATGAATAAATATATATTTTATAGTATATATATTTATTATTTATATATTATTTATAATTATATTTAATTATATATATTTTATATATTTTTTTAACACTTTATAATTAATGTAAACTTTTTAAACTTTTTTTCTGAAAAAAAAAAAAACAATAGAAACTATTCTTTTCTTATTATTTTTAATATATATGTATATTATATATATATATATATATATGTATCTATATATATATATAAATTATATAAAAAAACAAAAATTTTTTTATATAATTATATGTATATATGTATTTTATATATATATATATATATATATATATATATAATAATAATTATAAATAAATTTAATCCTTGTGTGGAAAATTAAATCAATCCATTTCGGATGATATTTATTATAATAGATAGATTTATATAGATTAAATTTTTATAAATTACGTTACTATTGTTTTTTTTTTCAGAAAAAAAAGTTTAAAAACTTTACATTAATTATAAAGTGTTAAAAAATAATATATAAAATATATATAATTTAAATATAATTATAAATAAATTACTGATTGGTCAAAAATCCTTATTCTCACAAACAATTGTAATAAGAAATATAAATAATAAATTGAAAAATATGAATCATTTTCCAAAATAATTTTAACATTGAAAATAGCCGATTTAAAAAAAACGAAAGATATAGAAGTATTTATTAGCAATGAATAACAACAATAATTATTCAAGAATATACTTTGATTAAACTTCTATGCTGTTAAAGCGTTTAAAGCTGTTTTTTAATACTTTTATGTCGTTAAGAAATGTATTATTAAAAAAAGACAAACATAAAATAAAAATTAATTATATTATATATACAGTATACAGACATATCTAAATATGTATGCATATGTTCTTTTTTGCTGTAGTGATATCAATGCAAATTCAGAGTTTCGCAGGAACGATCTAGAAATATGGAGAATGTAACAATCTACATGTATAGAAGCATCCGGAAAGTAGCAGGGAAAAGTGCGCATTCACGCGAGAGAGTCATGTTTTCTAGATCTATCTATTCATGACGAAATCTTATAGCTATATATGCATATATGCATAATATGAGTATAAATTAAATGTGTTTTCCACAAAAAATGCAAATAGACCTGGAACTTTTCTATTTCAAAATAAAAACTGCAAAAATGCTTTTATAATAATTAAAATACTCTTTAAACACTCAAATTAAAATAAGAAATAGAAAATATTAAGCATTTTTAAAATAATTTTTTTAAATAAAAAAGTTTTTTAAGTATTTATATTTAAAAATTTTTGTATTTTTAATTTTTTATATTTTTTTACTATTATTTCTTATACATAAATAAACTTGAATTACGAAAGTTTAATTATCTAAACATTTATATAAGATTACAATGCTTTTATAATAATTAAAATCTCTTTAAACACCCAAATTAAAATAAAAAATAAAAAATATTAGGCATTTTTTAAAAATGATTGTTCAAAAATAAAATATAAATATTTTTAATTCTTATATATTTTTAATTCTTTATATATTTCTTACTATTTTATTTTCTATACATAAATTCTATACATAAATAAATTTGAATTCTATACTAATTCTATACATAAATAAATTTGAATTACGAAAATTTGATTATATAAACATTTATATATAGAATTACAATGAATTGTATAATAATGAAAATTCTTTTTTAGACACCTAATTGAAATAGGCATTGTTAAAATAATTTTTTTAAATAAAAATATGTTTTAAGTATTTATATTTTTATAATTATTTATTCTTAAATTTTTGTTTACATTTTTATATTTACATTTTTTAATTATATATATTTTTTTACTATTATTTTTTATAGACAAATTCTTATTTCTTTGAATATTCATTTAAATTACAAAAATTAAATTATGTAAACATATAAATATGTATCGAAAATTACATTAATCTTTGCTTATATTATTGTTTGTACAGACATTCAGTTATTCTTTTAAAATTATATTTTGATTGCAATACATACATAATATAAATGAGTAATAAAAACTGCTTAAATGGAAATGTAAAATAGTTTTCAAGAAAATATTTTGAAATGTGCAAAATATGCATTTGACATCTTATATTTCCATTTTATAAATGCATCTATCATCTATCATTTCAAATATGCACAATAATACACACATTTCTGGTTTATAAATGTACTGTTATATAAATATATTTTATATAAATATAACGAGGCTGTGAATCAGATGTAATAAAAACGACTAATTATCATTTCGCAATTATCAGAAATGCATTATGGTGTATTAAAATTGAAAATCGACTTATCATGTTGTATCTTTTCAACAAAGATGCATTTTCGAAATTTTTAGTAAGTAAATAAAGGAAAGATTTTGTTTCGTGTAAAAATGTATTATAGAAAATAATTATAAAAAGAATTTTGCAAATTGCAAATATAAAATATTGAACGGGATGATATCAACATTTACTATCTTCTAATATTATTGTTGCTTGTATAAATTAACAAGTCTAGTATACGTTTAGAGACTAATATAAGGTCGGTCGTGTTATTAACATAATTGTTGCTGAGTCACTTATCGATGCCATAATTGTTACAACGCAAATTTGATGATAGCTAATTCTTGATCAGGTCGGTAAATCATCTCGAATAAAAAAAGTAATGACGCGCTATTTCAGGAAATGATTATAAAACACTTGACAACTATAAATATATTATATATGTATATAAATATAAGCAGGGTAAGTTAATGATTTTTTAAACTAAGTTAAGTTAAAGTTAGTTGCTTATAAAATTAATAAATTTAGTTAAGTTAAAAGTTGCATGAACCAAAAATTAACTCAGTTAAAGTTAAGTTTAAGATTAAATTTACTTTATAAGATTAAATAAATTGAAGTTAAATCAAAAGTTAATTTTTTAAAACATTTATATTAAATTAGAATTTTTGTTTGTTAATTTCTTTAAAATTTATAATAACAAATAAAAAAATTTGATTTTTATATAAAAATATTTTTTGGTTATTATAATTGACGACAAATAAACATAAAAATTAATAATATTTTAATATAAAAATAATATGTTTATATTATTTATAAAAAACAATAATGGTAGATAAAAAATTTAACTTAGGAAAAAGTCAAGTTTAAAAACAAAAATATATAACTATAGTTGAAATTAAAAATGAATAAATTTTAAAGTTATTAACTTTTAACTTTTTTTAACTTTTAACTAATTATTACTCAATTCTGTATAGAAATAAGTATATATATACTCATACTTTTCCAAAAATGCAAACGTTTATAACTCAAGAACTGTTTGAGCTACAGTGCTTCAATTTGACATACAAGTAAAATAGTGTAACATTTTTATTTACTGTCATTTTTATATAAATTTATGTAGTGTGTTTTAAATTGTAATGCAGTTTTAATTTTTCTAAAAATATCTATGGCTGCTCTAACTTACGTAAATTTTGAAATATTGGATTAAATTTTGTTACATATAAATAGAGTATCATTAAAAGATGTTTGGTATTAAATTTGACAAGAATTGGTGAGAGTTTATTTCTTATGAAATTTTGAATTTTTCAAAAAATATTTGTTTAACTTTCGTAAATTTTGAAATATCGGGTTAAAATATTTTACATAAATAAAATATTATTAAAGAATGATTGATATTGAATTTAAGAAAAATTAGTGACATGGTTTATTTTTTAAAGTTTCCTATTTTTTAATTAAAAAATTTTTTTAAATGAAAATTTTTGAATTTTTTAAAAAAGTGCAAATCAGAAATTTGATTAATAATTTAAATCTTAAGTTATTAGAGATATTTGAATTTTCAGACAGTGGGGACATATAAAAAAAATACACACATATGTATAGGATGTTTTTAAAAATATTTTAAGATGTGAAAGATGTATGCAAATTAGAAATTTCTTTCTTCATCATTTTATTTTGTTTATTAAGTTTTTATGAGAAAACCAAAATTGAAAAACCAGCTTGAGCAAGGTTTCCAATTTTTTATTATTTTAAGGCGCGTAGAACTTAAAATTTATGTATTTTAATTAATTTAAAAGCTTTTTTATCTAATAATCTAACTCATTTTTAATCTATTTTCTGAAGTATGAAAAAATTGAAAAAGTATTATTCTAATGATTAGATCAAATATTACACGCAATATAGATGTCATAAGTATATAGTTTAAGAAAATAATGATTTATCGTTGCTCTTTTAGCAGAAATATGGAATATAAGCATTACTGCCTGTCAACTGAAAAATGTTAGCTCGATAACATTTACTCTGATAAATGCTCATTTAAGATGAAATCAGCTGAGCATTTGATCGCAATTTTCTAATGGAACTGATATATCGGTCAGTACGTGCTTGTAGAAAATACATCTCATGCGATATTATAAATTGAAATGTGCACTTTCCCTATGGACGCCTTCCTCAGGGACGGATAAGTGGATATATCTCTGGTATTCAAAATTTTAGGATTTGTCGATTGACGTAAATTATCTTATTTCGCTCCATATAAATGCGATTTTTATATTTTTTATATTTTTATATCTTTATTTGTGTATAACTCAATAATTAATTGCATTTATACTTCAACACATATTAATGTTATTATAATCAATATAAATATCTTTAGGAAAAATATAAAAAATTTTAATAAACTATAATTTTTAAGAAATTTAAAATTATAGCTAGTTGTATAAAATTATATGTAAAATATATATCCTACAGAAATAATAATATATTATAAAAAAATTGTGTATCAATTAAAAATAAAAAACATTTATAAAAATATCTTAATCAAAAGGAAAAAAGAAAAAAAGCAAATTAAACAATAGAATATATCTATTCTATATTTGATATGCATGTACGTCCCTGCATCTACTCACGTTACTTGATAGGAAAAAGCATTTGCAGAAATTTGAATCGTGTTTAGTCGGTCTCTTGGAGTCCTTCGAGCTATAAACACGATCCTCTAACGGCGACGAAATGAGATTGGCTCATCTTTATCTGACGTACTCGATACTGCTTTTAGTTTTCATAAATTCGGAAAAGCATTTCCACATCGATGTTTTCGTCGAAGTGATTATGGACATTCGAAAATTTTATTCCGCAGCGACTGTTATATTCACCCATCCTGGAGACGAGTATGGTGACTATGGCGGTTAGTTTAGAGTATAATTTGAATAAATATTACACTGGTCAACAAAATAAAATTTTTGTTTCGTTGCAAAAGATAATTGAGATATTTTGGGGACGCTGAATCCAAAAATGACAACATAGTTTTGGTTATATAGTTTTTGAGATGGATACTCAAATTATGATTTTACCCCAAATATGACATGTGTAGCAGGGTTTGGTCTGTCTTTTTATTTTTAACATTATTTTTATCTCCAACGTGATCCTGATGATCTGTACATAAAAAATAGTACAAACAGTATTTTTCTATTCATCAATTGTGATTATCTGATTCAGCTTACTTTGTTTTTATATTATTTTACCTGAATACAACGCTATTAAGTATTTCATCATATATATATTTTTTTCGTATGATTTGAGACAGTTTTCATATGATTTGAGGATACATCTAATAATTAAATTTTTTGTATTTTTTATGTTTTTCATGGACCCTACTATCTCAAAAAAGAGATAAGATAAAAATAAGAGATTCCCAATCTAGAAAATCAATACCATGTTCGCAATTAATGGTACAAAGTAATTTTGTTGTTGAAGAATAAAAAGACAGACCAAACTCTGCATATGTTAGCAGCTACAGATCGTATTGGGATAAAATTGTTTAATTTAAGTATCTATTGTCTCAAAAACTAAAGTCAATTCGGTAAAACTGTGATTATTTTTGGATCAAGCATCTCCAATAAAGCAAACTTTAATAATTGATAGCGTTAATCTAATCGATTAATCTAAAAGTTCAAACATTCTTAGTAACTAAACAAAAGTTTATTTTTGTTGACCAGTGTTATCTTTTAGTGCAAATTTTCGTAGCTGCATCAAACTACCCAGACAACACCACGTCTAAAAGTGGCGCATAAGACATCTTTAAGTAGTCTATAAGACGTCTTTAAGAAATCTTATGATATGATATTCAAAAGACGTCTTTTAAAGACATCTTAAGGATGTCTTATGCGCCAATTTTAGACATGATATTGTTTGAATTATCAAACTGAATTTGTAAAATCTTTGCTGTAGATCTGCAAATTACGCACCTGGTGCATACGTGTTCTCGTCTGCTAGGCCGGAACTACGTGGTGACTCTGGACGTGCACTTTAGAAAATTATGGAGATTGCTCAGATATCGCCATCAAATAGTGCAGCCCATCATCATCGTTATTATGCCCGATTTCGATGCATACCTGGAATTCGCAGAGGCTACCAATACCTATCCCATGTCTTTCCCGGTGTGGTTTGTGCTGTTCCTTTTCACACCAGCCAACAATACTCACGATCATTGTCGCCAGCCGATAGGCAATCCTTTCAACCTGGCATTCGACACGCAGATGTTGGTATTATGCCACAACGAAGAAATTCTACAAGAATGGTACTCGGTCAAAGGCGAGACCACCAAGATTTTCGATCTGGCAAAGTGGGAGGATGATTTGGGATTCGTGCCCTTGACAAACTTATCCCTCTACGATCGAAGGAACGACTTGGAGGGAGTTGTCTTGCGAACTGTCACAGTCAAGGTACTCGATTGTATACAATATTTTAAGATATGTAATATGTATACAAGGTATAACTAAACAAAGATACGAAGCACACTATCTGGTGCAGGACGACCAATTAAATCGAAAAGTCTTGAGCCATTTTTTAATCTGAGCTTTATTTTTGACGCTATCAATTATTAAAGTTTGCCAATTAGCGCCTGCCTACAACGGAAAACAGCGTAGGCCAAGCTTACTAAGGCGGCGCCTACGCTGTAAACTTTAATTTATAACATATATTTCATATTTGAGTAATTGCGAAGCACAAGTGTTTAATTTAATTAATTAATATTAAACGAACTTAGGATATACCGCTTTCTTCGAGATTTGACGAAAACTACGTGGGCAGTTTGTACGGAAAAGTGGTAGATGAGCTCACGAATTCCCTCAACTTTAGTTTGGATGTCGTGTTGGCATTAGACGACCACGGCATGTGGAATCACAAGAATCATACTTGGTCCGGAGTAATGAATGAGATTGTATCAGGCCGCGCGGATTTTGCTATCGCCGATATGTCGATGACGAGTTTGCGGGTGCGTTTCGTCGATTTTACGCTACCCTTGATAATATCTAAAAACAGCCTATTCGTCAGGGAACCTGGGATATGCGGCGTCAAGTGGCTCGGTTATTTTCAGGTAATCATGATTAATAAAAAGATTGATTGACAATATAAGATCGTCTTATAGAGTTTACGTTTTCATTCAAGCGTATAAAAAATGTATATCTCTAATAGCACAACATATGCGAAAGATATTCAGAGGCTATTCAGAGGATATCCAGAGGACATTGTAACATCCTTAGGATGTCTTGTACGTCTTCGGGATATGTATGCTGTTAGGGATTATAACATTTAAAAAAGTTCCAAATTTTAAATTAAAATAATGTAATTGTGTTCAACAGACGTTCAGTTTGCGTATTTGGGTTGCGATTATCACGTTAATAGCTGTTGCACCGTTTCTGCTATCCTTCATGAAATTGTGTCGTGAATCTGGAAACATTATGGATTTGATTTCCGACAATTTTCTCTACATTTGGGGTATCTTCTGTCAACAAGCACTTATAGGTGAGTATACTTTGTTACAGAATTAATTTTACGAAGCAATTCTAATTTATTATATAAACACCATATTCATCAAATATTTTAAAAATATTTTAACAAAAAATAGAGGATAAAAAGTGAAGGGAGAAAAAAGGAGAGGGAAAAAGAGAGAAGAAAGAAAGAAAATGAGGAAGGGAAAGGAGAGAGATAGATTTTTCTAATTAAGAAAAAAATTGAGAAACTGTAATTAAAAAGAATTAAATTATTTTAATCAGAAATTAGATAAAAAATTAAATGATATTTTTAAATGCATTTTTTCCTAAAACTTTTTAAGACTTAATTTTTTTCTTTGTAGCGTTTCCGAGATGTTCATCGATACGTATTGCGTATTTTACGATATTTTTAACGGCAGTATTGATAACGGCTCATTATTCAGCGGCATTGGTGTGCTTTTTAACGGCTTGCATTCGCGTTCTTCCTTTTCGTTCGATAGATGAATTTGTGGAGGATGGTACTTATCAATTAATTGTTCCACGCGGCAGTGCCGACTACGACGTAATCTCCGTAAGTTCATCCAGTTCATCTTAATTAAGTATTCTGACTTTCACTTTTGATGCTCATACATATACTTGTATAAGCGAATAAATTATTGTCTAATCATTATATATATATATATATATATATATATATATATATAATGATTATATATATATAACATACAGGGTGAGTCATTTTAATCAACGCACGTAAATATCTCGTATAGTAAGCAAAATGGAAAAAACGTCTCAAACTAAAGTTTTTTGTCTATGAGGGGGACATAAGATATATATTGATTTGAACTGAACATTTTACAAGATATTTTACATTTTATTCCAAAAAATTGTAAAACTTTAAACTTTTATAATTTGAAAAGTACTTCATCAAACAACACTTTATTATTGGGTTTTGGAAAGCTCTTTAGATAAGCTATAAGAATATATGTAATGAAAAATAGCAGGTCTATTTAAAAAATTGAAGGTAACCTATACGTGACCTTTAAATGATTATACAAGGTCAAATCAATAACATCATTTTATGTTCTTCTCATAGTCAAAAAACTTTTGTTTGAAACATTTTTTCCATCTCTACACGAGATATTTACGTGCGTTGATTAAAATGACTCACCGTGTATATATATATATATATATATATATATATATATATATGTATATATATATATACATGTATGGTCATAATTGTGTTGTGTGTCTGTTTATGTGTATTATTAATAAATTAAATTAAATTAAATTAAATTATATTATATTAATAATATTATAATAAAATATTTTTGTACACATAGCATCAATCAAAGTACGAAACATCGAAGAAATCTTTCTCGGCGGAACTGATGAAGTTAATGAAACAGGAGTCAGAATTGCCGGAGACTTTAATTGATGGTTTCGTGCAAGTGCGATTGATATTTATAATAATAATAAATTGTTGATATTATATTAATTTTTTTCTGATAAAATTAATTTAATTACTAATTATAATTTTTTTTTAAATTTACGATATTTTTTATATGCTTATTTTTTTTAAAAGGTTATTTATATAATTTATTATATTTTTTAGATTTGCCATGAGAAAAAGGTTGCTTATATGATATTGGACGCTTTAAAGAAAAGCGTCGAAATGAGAATTCCTTGCAAATTGTCCAGCGTCAGCACTGAGAGAATAGATAACCTGGGGATGATTTTGTCCAAAGACAATCCCTACACTAGCGTGATAAATTACCAGTGAATATCTGTTTTAACAATTTTTTTCCATTCACTCTTTTTTACTTTAAAATTACCAAAATTTTTACTGCAGTTTACAGAAATTTTTGGATAACGGGATAATGAAGCGTTTAAAGGATATGAAATTCTTGATACAATCAACTGAAAGCAAAGCTTACACACCGGTTCGCATAGTTAGTATTGTCCCAATCTTGGCGATTCTCTGTGGAGGCATTATTTTAAGCAGCGTTGTACTGGTCGTGGAGAAAATTTATTATCAATACAAGATGAAGAAGAAATTTCAATCGAGGCTCTTCTATCGCTCGAAAAAACAATTGTTTCTTAAAAGGCAATAAGGGCCACTAGAAATTTTTATTATATGATTTTATTTAATTTGTTGCTTATTGCGAATATCTTTATATTAATGAAGAAATGAAAAACTATTATTATATATACAAATATATTATATTTTATTATTATTAGTATTAATTTTATTATTATTGATATTATTAGTGCCATTATAGTATTATTAGAGAAATGCTATTTTCTATGTCTTCGTGTATATGTGTATTTACAGATTTGTAGCGTATAAATATTTTGTTTAGATATTAAAAAGTAATATATTTTTTGAATATATATAAAATCAATTTTTGTTAACAATATTATGATGTCCAATATATGAATAGTTAATCAGTATCGATGTGTGTGTGTATATATTAAAAAAATTTCTTTTGATCTACATTGATAACTTGTACCGTTTGATGAAACGTGAATAAATAATACTGCTTACTAGGAGTTTAACAACGATAAATAATTTATGATTCGGCCGATTATTCACCGATAAGAAGAATCGTGCCCTGATACGCATCCTCGCATAATTTATAACAATGCGGCAAGCATAATTTACAATATATCACCTGGTAGCACTCTTTTACGCGCACCCCATATTTAGATCCCTCGGATCCGATAAAGTCAAACATGTTCGCGACGATCGCTTTTCAGTCGTGCATTTGCTCTATCGTGAAACTTATTCTTTCTCTTTCTGTTAACTACTAACGCTTTTTGCTAAAAGATCCCAGCTCATGAACTATCTTTGTAGAATTATCAGAAGAAATTAAAATTACTGAGAGATTTCTTTTCGTTTCTCCTAATTTGTTTTAATTTTTATAAAAGGAACATTTTTTTCACATAAAATTAAACGTGCACATCTGCATCAATAGTTATTTTTGTATTACGATAATATTTTTAATTAAACAAAAATTATATTTCTGCATAGTTAATTATTCATTAATTTTATTCGGATTTTTTTTTGTAAGTTGCTTTAATTCCACGATGAAGTATATAGTGCAATTTATTGTGACGCTCTTCTTCATGTTAACTATTAAAGCGGAAGAAATGCACATTAACAATTATTTTCGGCTAATTAGTGATGTTCACAAGTATTATTGCACTTTCAGCGTTATTTTTGTGTGGTCTGGCAACTATCATAGTAAGTATTTAAAAATTAGCCCTTCTGTCTTTCTCGCTTCTTATGTATACTATCCTGCAATCAGTAGACGGCGAAAAGAAAGTTTCTATGAGCTAAAAATAAATATATATTTAAAAAGAATATTTCATGTGCAAAAAATTGCTTTAGATATATTCGCAAAATTCTTTTTTTAAACATTTTTAATTATAAATTATAAAAAATTTCCCGTCAATAATTATATTTATATTAAGGTCAATCTCAGAGATTTCAGTAACTTTGATATACAATATTATCAAGGACATGGTTTTGAATAACTTTTTTAAAAGATTTTAGCTGTGTATGTGTGTGTGTGTGTGTCTCTCTCGCAGCAGTTTATTTAGATATTATAAACAAATTTAGATATTATAAACAAAATAAGTTTAACGAATAAAATGTACAATAATTTTTTGACAGAATGTATATGAATAAGAAGGAACACAACAAAATCTTGATAAAAGAAAAAACCGCCAAGTATATAAAAAAATTCGATATTGTATGCAAAATGCCTTTGTAAAAATTTTTCTAGCAAAAGTATTTTTTTAAAGAGACACTTTACACACACAAATAATGTTGAAAAACATAAACATACACACAAATTCAATGTTTGAAAATAAAGTTTAAAAATATATTTAGAAATGCAGCTCGAAAATAGATATAAAATCAAAGCTACTCAGCCAAGTATAAATGATATATTAATTTCTGTATTATTTGATTTGATATAAAATTCATCACCTTTGTCTTCTTAAGAATAATGCTATCATTTATATAGTTAAAACGATTTAAATCCAACATTGAAAGGATTAAAATGACGAATAAAACTTGGCGTGCCCGGAGCATTAAAATATGACATAAATTTTCTGATAAGATTGCTTAAAAACTAATTTATAAAATTGATTTGTAGAGTAATAAATAAGATTTTTAAGTTATTTTATCTATATAGTAGTCTTAAGGGGATGCCGGACTGACGGCCGAACTCCGAGATTAGCATCACACATAACCGCACATATGCACGTTTACACATATACACATGCATGTACACATACATATGCGTGAAAATTTATTAATATATAATCTTTTTTTATTATATTTGTAATCTTACTTCTAATTGTTCATTAATATTCTTTCATGTTATCCCTATTACGCGAGCTATATCTTATGCACAGACTGCAGAACTTTTTTTATTAAATAAGTATTAAATATAAGAAAATCTCTCCTCCAATTTTAAAGTCGACCAGACTGGCAATAATTTATTTAAAAAATTAGTTAAATTACAACGTTTCGGCTGTCATTGCAGCCCTTTTCAAGTAATCAGATTAAAACAATAAATCAAATTTACAGCAAACCCCCGACAAAATTAACCATTGTTTTGATGAACAATGTATAACTGACAGAAGTGAGCACAAAAAAAAAAAATAGATGTTGACTGTTAGCAGGAAACTTAGTCACTGTGACATACAGCACAAACAAAGCACAATGCAGCACAATCAAGAAAAATTCAAAATTCGAAAAGTGCGGGGCTAACTTTATACATATCATTCGGTCGGTAAAAACATACGGCATCCCCTTAAAAGTTTCAAATTATATACACTATATTTTACCGGCAACTAAAAACGTTATTTTCGTTAACGATCATACCACGTTGTTCAAGCATAGGAAGTAAGTTTAAAGTAAAAAATAATTACAGTTGAATAATACATTTTAAATTAACTAAACTAGGTTAAAAGTTATTAATTTTTTAACATTTTTCAATTTTTAATTAATTTACTATAGTTATTACCCAAACCCTGTCAGGATATGAAATTTTATTTCTCATCAAGGTATATTTGTAGTCATTAAATTGCATGTATATTTGTACATGCACGTTGTGCATCTTGAAGGTTAAAATTATTGAGAGAGAGAGAGAGGGGGGCGGGTGTGGGTGTGCGGATGTGTGTAAGTCTTAAACGTAAAAAATCTTACTTTCTTTAAGTATCAATTTTCGAGTTTTTGATATTGACTGTATCAATCATATCTACTCAAACCGGTTGCAACCAAAAGCTTGTAGTCACATTGCATAAGTAAAGTGCCGTTAGATTTTTTATTTATGTCGTGGAAGTATTTTGATAGGAATATTCCGAATAATCTAAATTGTGATTGATGGATAAAATGTTGTGAAAGTTACTTAGCACTATAGTGCTAATTGTAAGTAATTTTTAACTTTAACAAGTAAGGACATATATATCTTTGATAATATAAAATATTAATAAGGTCATTGAAATCTGTCAATTCGACCCTAATGCAATTATTTATCAATGCGTCGCACAGATTTTAATATGACGTCACTGCTGCACATATGGTCGCGTGACTTCTCACGACAGAGGATCATGACCGCGACTATAACCTTCTCGGATCTGGTAAGTGAATACGACGAGTACCAGAGGACCATCGCCCGGCCACTGTTTGTGGTTCTTCTCGACACTGGGGAGACCATGAACGAATTTGTTGAGGTCACGAAGAACGTTAAGCCCATCTCTTTTCCCGTCTGGTTGATCGTGTTCTTGCAATGCTCTGGAAAACCGCTCGAGAAGTATTGCCGACATCCCGCTGATAACATATTTAACGTAGACTTCGACACGCTCATGTTAGTCCTGTGTTATGATCATCCGAACCTGGATGAGTGGTATGCTATTCGCGACAATCGCACCAGGACATTCGAAGTGGCCACGTGGGCCACTGATGGAAATCTAGTTTTCAAAACGCGGGAAAATAATCTCTATGCCAGGAGGAACGACATGTTTGGCGACATCATACGCGTAATGCCCGTAAATGTGAGTTTCGAAACCTTGTCGTGAGTTACATTAATTACTTATGTTGGAAAATAATCTGAGAATTAGGGATGGGCTCGAGTTCAACATTAAAAGTCCAATTAGAATCTAATAATTCCATACAGTACAGAACATTGCAATTACATCGCAGCAATGTTGCAATCTTGCAAGTTGCAATGTAACATTGTAGAAATATTACAGGGACATAACAACATTTGAATGTTAGTTAAGTTGTTTTGTCATAAAAACTTATATATAAATGTTATACAATAAAAGACTGGTACTTATTTTTATTATTCATTATTATAAAAATTACATTGCAATGTTGCCGTAATGTTTCATTGTATAATATTACAAAAAGCGACCATCTAATCATAGCAATCATGCAGCAATGATGCAATAATGTTTCAACCAATATATTGCAATGTTTCAATAGCGAAGGAATTATTAAGTATCTTATAAGTAGATTCGAATTTGTTCACCTGATTTCAAACTCTTTCAAACAGTATTATACTTTCAAGTAGATACAAATAGTATATATTTTCAAGTAGATACGAACCTGGACGAGATAGCTTTGAACTCTCTATAAGTATCTCGAAAATAAAGAACTTCAAAGTTCAAACTTCTTTAACAAGTAGTATTGGAACTCTAATTATAAGATAAAAAAATCTATTTATGATACTTGCTACATATCCATGCACACTCCCCAATTTCTCATAAGAGTTCCAATTTCTCATAAAAATCAAAAACTATGATCGAACATACCTCATACAGCACCGAAAGATAGCAGAAACATTGCATATATCTTACATTGAAAGATTGCAATATTGCATGGAAGTTACAAAATGTTTCTGCAATGTTCTTATTCAAGCTTGTGGTAATATTGAAATGTCCTCTTGGAAATATTGCAATTTAATATTTAATAATGTTACGGTGCAATGTATTTAAAATATTAATACACATTATTGCTTCTAATATGTAAAACACTTCAAATTTAATAGATCAAGTTTTATGTGTGAGGATATACTGAATTTCTTGTGTTGCGGGATCGAGTCTAAAAAATTAAACTGATACTTGATTCAGATTCGACGGTATTTAGAAATACTGTTCTTTGTGTTTAAAGAGTTTAAATCTATGTCATCCTCTACTTGAAAGTGTTATTGTATTTTTTAAGTAATTATAGAGTTTGAAATCATTTGCCCCGCAAACAAATTGATATCTACTTGCAAGATACTTGAATAAGGATTTTCTTTCGCGCAAAAATTGCCACAATGAAACAGTCGACACTCGCGTAATTTGTCATAGAATCGATATTAGACTTTAATGATGCACATCCTAGCGGACACATCAGTTGCGATAGAATGACTTGATAATTCTGTTGACGAATGGGATTCGAAGGAGTCGGCATTTTTCTCGATGAAGAACGGAGCGATCGGCGGGTTTTTTGGTTTACTGCTGATAGAACTCAGCGAAGCGATGAACTTCACGTTGGAGGTTCTGGATCCAATAGATGCGTACGGCAGTTGGAATCAGCGGGAGAAAAAGTGGACCGGCGTGATCGGTGAATTGGTGAATGGCAGAGCTGATATCGGCGCTTCCGCATTCACAATAACAGCAGACAGACTAAATTTTATCGATTTTACATTGCCATTGATACATTCGCGATCTCGTCTCTATTTTAAGCAACCCATCAGAGTGCATTGGTCTGGATACTTCACGGTAATGTTTATGTCGTTTAAGCATTATATACGCGTGTGTAATCTGTAATAATGATATTATAATACACAGGATGCCATAAACTTACCAGAAAACCTGTTAATGACAGATTCCTGGGTCCAGTTGAAGACGATTTTTCCTCAGCGAAAATGTCGAGGGAGGCCATTTTTGCATGTTCTCAATTTTTGCCATCATGTATCTTTTGTAACTAAACCTTAAATTAAAATTCTGTTAAAGTAAACTTTATCTAAAATTAACTGAAGAATGTGGTTTTGTAAATATTTTATTTCTACAAGTTTGCGAAAAACCCTTTATTTTCAATCTTATAATTTAAGACACTTATAACTTGAAAATTATTGGTGTCTCGACATTTTTACCGAGAAAAAGATCCCAGAAATCAATTAACAGGTTTTTCGGTAAGACTGAAACACCCTGTACTCTGTATATAATATACAATATACAAAATTTAGTATACAATATATAATATATATGATTTATTTTTATAATTTTTTAAATATATATTTGATGAAAAATAAATTCTTTTAAATTTTAAATCGTATAAACCTTTCAGGCATTTAGTTACGGGATTTGGATAATGTTAGCGACGGTAATAATAATTGCCTCTATTCTGTTAAGTGTTATAAAGGTGAAAGGGTTTTCAATGAATCTACTATTCGAAAACTATGTTCATGTTTGGGGTATTTATTGTCAGCAGGGTTGGTCAGGTAATATTAAACTACCGATATGCTCATATACAAACATAATATCATTAAATATTATGTAATAAGAACATTTTTCGAACTATTTCTTACAATATAACTGTTTGCGGAATGATAGAATTTTCCAGCAAGTTGTCAATGAGATTGGCTGTTTTATCGATTTACGTTTCATCGTTAATAGTCACATCCGCTTATTCCGCCTCGTTGATCAGTTTCCTGACACTGACTAAGACCAACCTGCCTTTCTCCACTTTTGAGGATTACGTTAAAGATGGTTCTTATAAATTAATTGCCATAACAAACAGCGCCGAGTACAATATGATTCATGTGAGTTCTCTCTGTTCTATTAGCTATATTACAAATTAATATTGTTTGAGTAATAGCAGTTTGTGAATCGCGATATGAGTAGTTGGAAATTTTAATTAAAAAGTATAATTATAAATAAAAATAATTTTATTTAGAATTTTCTGTTTTATATATTAATTATATATTTATAATCAAGAAGAAATTTTATCTAAAAATATTAATATTGTATAATATAAAAAGGTTAATAATAATAATAATTTTTATAATAATAACAATTTGTGTAATAAATTAATTTTACTTATTGATAAATATAAAATCTATTTTTCTTTTCTGTCTCTTATATACTTACGATATAAATATAACTAGAGCTTTTAAAAGAGACTGTAATATATTAATTGTATGATTGAAAAAAGAATAATATAGTATTGAATTTTGTTTGAATGATTAATTTTACAAATTGCAGCACATGAAGACTCCCATATTTTTGAAAATGCACCAATTGCTGGAAGAGAAAAAACATTTGCCATCTACATTGCCAGAGGCATTTAAACAAGTTAGCGGTTTAAATAGTGAAATTAATAGCATTACATTTTTTTAAAAATTAATTTACACCAATAATTCTTATGCAGATTTGCGAACGGAAGAACTTGGCGCTTTTTACGACAGAGCTATTTAAAAGCGTCACGAACATTTATTTGACGTGTAAAATCAGACATATCGAGAGCGGAAGAACTGATAGTTTAGCGATGGCTCTAACGAAGGGAAATCCTTACACTGGTCTTATGAATTATAAGTAAGTTTATAAAATATGTAGATAATTTCGAAAAAAGTACTTTTAAATAGAATCCATCTTAAACAAAAGGGTTCGAACTCTCTATAAATACATAGAAAAACAGTACTTCCAAATACTAAAAATATTCAAACCTAAATCAAGTATGTTCAAATCTATTATATGCATATATTATAAAAAGTTTAAAATCACATATAAACAAATTCTTTACTTGTAAAATACTAAATTCTATTGCTATTGACAATTTATCATTTTAAAGCAATATACTTTTTGAATTTTATTTTGATAAGTAATTTTATTACTTATTGAATTTTATATAATTTATTTTTTTGGATTTTATCAAACTTTTATCAAATCTTTTATCCAATTTTTTTATCAAACTTCTTAATATTATAAAAATATCAAGGACATTTTTAATACATATAAACCGAGTTTAATAGTGTTATTTAATAGTGTTAAAAATTTAATTTTTAAAAATTAAAAATTAAATTTTTAACAATTTACAACGTTTTAAAAATATCTTGAGAACATTCTGAGAGAATTTTATTAAAATAGTATAATATATTAATAAGAATGTAATATTGTAATGAACATTGTAGTAAAGGATTGAATTATATTTAATAGAATTGAATATATATATATATATATATATATATATATATATATATATATATATATATATATACATACACATATATATATCAAATTATTTATGGTTGTTAAGTTTTAATTTTTCATTTTAAATGTTTTGTAATCAAACATTTTTTTCAGTTTACGTCGATTTCAACTTAATGGTGTCATAAATAAATTGAAGAGCAAGCATTTTTCAAGAAGTAATAAACTGGAAATGAATTATAATGTGGTTAGTTTAGAGATGTAACGCCGACTTTAACAATAGTGGCAGGAAGTATAATCCTGGCATTGTTTATCTTGATAAGCGAAAAAATGTATCATTCTTTGAACATTCAAAGGTTTAAAAGAATCGAGTTAAAAAATCGAGATAAGTTCTTGGTTGAAAATCATAAAATCGAAGTAATAAAGAATCTAAAATTTCAACAATATTTTGAATAATATAAAAATTGATCGAATATGATATTAGAAAATATAGATTTTTATTCTAATAACATTTGGTACAATATTTAAGTTATATATGTAATTTTAATGATATATTATAGTGTGTTATTGAGATAGTATAGTTTAAACTGAATTGTTTAAATTAATATTATTTTTTTCCTTTGAATAAAAAAGTGCTCTATATCAAGAGACACGGTAGTGTCTCGCGACCAGTTAAGGGCGTAGCGGAGACACCGTGTATCTTAACGCGAGTCGGACATTTGAGTCTTTATAATATTTCGAATCTTCAATAATGGCTGAAGCAATCAAGTTTATACTAGACTTAATCGATAGATTGAGTTCGAATTATATAATAAAAGTGTCTTTATTTCTGCTCTACGTGATTTGTAAGCAGAGATATATAAATGCAAAGTCGAAATATGAAAAATTTCTATTAAGAAACGTCCCCGTCATCATTATTATTATCATCATCATCGACCACGCATACATAGTAGTATCGTGCTACACGTATTCACACGTATACAACACATGCGCACACATATATCACACGTACACAACACATGCAAGATGCATGTAGTGGTAATTTTGTCCATCTCGCACGTTTTACAACAGATGGCGATAGTGGCGCTTCGCCATATCGGCAGCGTGCGGGGTTATGTTGGCCTTGATGTTGGCTAACTCTCTCTCTCTCTCTCTCTCTCTCTCTCTCTCTCTCTCTCACACACACGCACACACACACACTCTCTCATTCTCACTCACTCACTCACTGTTCGTCTTGTGTACTTATTTAGTACATTCATGATTAAACATCTATATGCATTAATGTGAAATTTACTTACAATTAGTTTACTTGAAATTTTCAATCTCTAAAGTGTTTATCTTATAAGATAGACAAAAAAATCTGAGTAAATAATAAGAAAAAAAAACAAAAGGATTATTATTGTCATAATTTTTTATCAATTAAGTACTCTCAACTATCCAATAATTAAATAAATACGTACAAATGTGCGCGCGTGTACACACATACACCTATTGATATTAAAGAGATTGAAGGAGAGGAAGGAGAAGATAAAAATTTAATAGTAGATATCTTGTATCGCCAGTGATGAATAAAATTAAAAATAAATGTGAGACGACCCAACTGGCTTAAATTAATTCTTATTATTATTAGTTTGATGCCATGTACAAGAAAAGACAACGTTTCGACCTTAGGTTTAGGTCCTTATCAAGTCTAAAATTAACATTAAAAACTACAATAGATGTACATACAAGAATTTTGATTTTTAAGAAAGTAAAGCGCAAACCAAGATTATAATAACAATTTAAACGTACCTTACAAATTCTTAAGTGCAATATATAATTAATTTTGTTCCATTTTACATATTTCAATATAAATATTGTGTCACGTAAACGTTCGGTATGGATGGTAAAGACGAACTAAGTTAAACAGCTTTGATTATTCTATCATAGATCGGATTCAAATTCTCTGTGTCTTTCTGTAGGTTGATCGTGTTATTAAATTTTTTTATAAAAAACATTTCAGCAATCTCTCTTTTCCTAGTGTTTGTTTCTCGATGTAAAATATTTAAGTTTGTCCATTTAAAGTCGTGCGAAAAATCATTTCTATGTTTGCTTATAACATTTTGATTGCTGACATGCATTTTTATATTATTCATATGTTCTTTAATCCGAGTATTAAGGTGTCTTTTAGTTTGTCCGATGTATGTGGCGTCACAGTCATTGCAGTCAACTTTATAAACTATCTCGGTCATATCGGCTTTAGGTAATTTGTCTTTTCGGGGTTTAATAAACGTATCAAGTTTTTTAGGAATCGTATAAATAACACTTAAGCCTGTTTTCTTAATAGATCTCTCAATAATCTCACTTAGGTTCTTAACATACGGCATTAAAATACAAGACGAAATATCAAATACATTATTTTTGTCAACTACGTTATGAGAATTTTCTAAAAAACATGTTCTTTTATACATATATCGCTCGATGACCGTCCTAGGGAAACAATTATTCAACAAGATGATGGTGCTTACACGGAGAGGTGGTTTTTTTCAAACAATCTCTGATCATTATGGTTTTAACCACACATTGTTGCTGAAATCATGGATTGATATCAAGAAGAAGTTATTTACATCGAAACATCAACTAATTTTCCTGCTTCGATGCAGAAGATTGGATTTACTTCCACCACACATCAAGAAATTGAAATTGAACATCTTTTTCTACAGTAATAGTAAACCAAAAATTTGATTATTTTTCTAGACGAACTCGAATTAGATTGTTGAACTTAGAAATTAAAGATTTAAATTATAACATAAAGTTCTTACATTCCAAACTTTATAACATCGAAAAAAGGATGTTTGACTTACTTCCACGTACTTTAATTAACAGATTTTTTGAACTTAATCAACATAAATTATTTATTTTTAATAAAACGAAAAAGGATAACGCGATTAAAAGTTCAATAATTTAATACGTAATAATAATGTTTCACTTAACCCCTTTAGTAAAATTGACAGATCGAAATGGATAGTAAATTTGAGCAATAAAATTATTCCAGAGAACATTCTAGATTTTTTAAGCTTAGGTGATAAATTCGGGTTGCCTGTCTCACAGAATTATAAGAATGACCGCACTAACATTGTTATCGATATAGCTAAGAACCTAGAAATTAATTGCACTAAGATTCCTAATGCTCTTGTTGAATCGACAAGAAACGAGGTAACTAAAGCGGCATATGGATTTCTTAGCAAAAAGAAACACACTAGCTACATAGATAGATACATTATAAACAACTCTAAACAATGTCATAGTTATCTACGTGATAACGATGACATTTTAGTTACGACAGCCGATAAGGGTCAAACTACAGTTATTATGGACAAAAAAGATTATATAGACAAAATGAATGTTTCACTAAGTGATCAGGGTACATATACTAAACTGAAAAAAGATCCGCTCAAGAAAGTTTCGGGTAGAATCAATTCTTTAATCAAATCATGGCGAGATAATAAATTGATTGATGAAATGACATATAAACGACTTAATACCACAAATGGGAACCTTCCTCGATGTTACGGTCTACCGAAAATTCACAAAGTTAACGCGCCTTTACGTATAATTGTTTCGTCACTTGGGAGCCCGGTGTACAGTATAGCACGTTTTTTACATGATATATTGGAACGATCAATTACGAAACCTATCTCACATATTAAAGACGGTTGGACGTTCGCGAATAAAATCAAGAATTTGAGTATTGAAGATAATGAAATGTTAATTTCTCTTGACGTCACTTCTTTATTCACAAACATTCCTAAGGAATTAGTTTTAAAAGCTATTGAAAAACGTTGGAAAGATATTTCATGTAACACAAATTTTAGTTTGACACAATTTTTATATGGAATCGACGCTGTATTAGAATCTACTAGTTTTCGTTTCAACGATCAATTTTATGAACAGATACATGGTACGCCAATGGGATCCCCCCTTTCACCTATTTTAGCAGACTTAGTTATGGCTGATCTTGAGACAGAATGTTTAAGCTCTTTACAATTTGACATTTCAGTTTATTATAGGTACGTTGATGATATTTTTGCAATAGTACCACGCAATAAAATGGATAACATTTTGACTACGTTTAATAAATACCATCACCGTTTGCAATTTACACATGAAACAGAGATAAATAACAAGATTAACTTTCTGGATACATTGGTTTTTAGAAACAATGGTAAACTATTGACTAGTTGGTACCAGAAACCCACCTTCTCTGGTAGATATTTAAACTACCATTCTAACCATCCGTTTAAATACAAAGTTAACACGATTAATAACTTAGTCGACCACGCTATTTTGTTATCAGATAAACGATTTCATAATGAGAACTTACAGATGGTTAAAAAAATCTTGTTGAATAATTGTTTCCCTAGGACGGTCATCGAGCGATATATGTATAAAAGAACATGTTTTTTAGAAAATTCTCATAACGTAGTTGACAAAAATAATGTATTTGATATTTCGTCTTGTATTTTAATGCCGTATGTTAAGAACCTAAGTGAGACTATTGAGAGATCTATTAAGAAAACAGGCTTAAGTGTTATTTATACGATTCCAAAAAACTTGATACGTTTATTAAACCCCGAAAAGACAAATTACCTAAAGCCGATATGACCGAGATAGTTTATAAAGTTGACTGCAATGACTGTGACGCCACATACATCGGACAAACTAAAAGACACCTTAATACTCGGATTAAAGAACATATGAATAATATAAAAATGCATGTCAGCAATCAAAATGTTATAAGCAAACATAGAAATGATTTTTCGCATGACTTTAAATGGACAAACTTAAATATTTTACATCGAGAAACAAACACTAGGAAAAGAGAGATTGCTGAAATGTTTTTTATAAAAAAATTTAATAACACGATCAACCTACAGAAAGACACAGAGAATTTGAATCCGATCTATGATAGAATAATCAAAGCTGTTTAACTTAGTTCGTCTTTACCATCCATACCGAACGTTTACGTGACACAATATTTATATTGAAATATGTAAAATGGAACAAAATTAATTATATATTGCACTTAAGAATTTGTAAGGTACGTTTAAATTGTTATTATAATCTTGGTTTGCGCTTTACTTTCTTAAAAATCAAAATTCTTGTATGTACATCTATTGTAGTTTTTAATGTTAATTTTAGACTTGATAAGGACCTAAACCTAAGGTCGAAACGTTGTCTTTTCTTGTACATGGCATCAAACTAATAATAATAAGAATTAATTTAAGCCAGTTGGGTCGTCTCACATTTATTTTTAATAAAAATTTAAATATTCACATATATTTTCAAATATTATATATGAATTTATAGTTTACATATCTAATTAATAATGAATTTCTAATTATATTAAACATATCAAAATAAAGACATACATGTATTTATCAAATGAATAAAATTATTGAATACAGACTTAAAAA